TTGGGTTCGACTTCGGCAATGGCTTCGGAAGCCCACGAAATGACGTTAGTGAGTGCACGCAGTACGGAACGCTCCAATAATAATTGTTTAGTTTCCACAGCCCAAAACCACTGTATAATTATGAGAGAAGCGGTAGTGGGGGGCTGCGTAAAATCTAATAAGTACACGGACCTCAAGCATTTTTGCCTGCATCGAAAATGCCACGGCCGGAAGTCGGTAGTGCAGTACTTAATATTTAACTAGCCATGTCGTTCGGTCTGCAAACTGTGCTTCGGCTTCGAGGGTAAACAAGCATAAACAAGCAAACAAGCTTTTGTTAGCATAACCAGGCCTGTAGCCGAGCTAAGCCGTGGCCATTTTTTTAATCTGTTATTACTCCTTGTTTGCGATGTCAAAACAGTCCGCGTCATTCCGTGATGTACGATATGGTATGGAAGTAAGTGAGGTGGCTGCCAGAGCTAGTCCGTGATGCATGTGGCCAGTTAACAGTGCCATAAAAACAACGAGAGGACGATGAACATATAAGTAGGGGACAGATAGTAGTGACATGGTGTAGCGTTTGCACCATGTGTATGCGTCTCGTTCCCATGCATGCTTGTTATTTTTGTTGTGATTGTTGTCGTTCGCGGCGTTAACTGTCCGTAAGGAAATCATGCAGCGCAGTCTTCATATCGGGTCGAGCAAACAGGGCGGCGTACCGGTAATTCTGGCCAGAGCCTGTTCTGACTTGCATTGAAGAAATACTACAGACCATTTATATAACAGGGCACGCGCAGAGGCGACGGACGCTGCATACACTGCGCCGGTCGACTGCAAAAGTTGCTACCAACCCGCCGGCAATCATCTGTGGCACCAATGACCGGAGAGCAAAGTACGGCTCGTTTAATGGTCAGCACTTTATCGGCAACTGTCGTAACCATGTGCTTCGAGAAGTGTCAAAAGGCGATTGGGTGATGATTGATATGCGGGGTTCAACGTAACAAAACCGCCGTATGATTATGGGAGACGCCGTAGTGGAGGACTCCGGAAATTTTGACCACCTGGGGTTCTTTAACATGCACGTGGGCCTACAGCATTTTCGCCTCAATCGAAAATGCAGCCGTCACCACCGGAATTCAATCCCGTGACCTGCGGGTCAGCCGCCGAGTACCTTAGCCACCAGACCACCACGGCGGAGCAGGGCGATAGGGTGAGAACGCAGATTACAGTTCATTATACGACTGTTGCAAGTGCACAAGCCATGTACACAAACTGTCGCCATCGTCATTCACACATAATTCAGCAGGCTTAGCTCGCCTTTAAGAAACGAAGAAAGTAACAGCGCAATGGCAACGTATAGGTGAACGCACAGATGGAAAGAGAGTGGAGCAACAGCCGGCGTTACCAACATTTACATTTCCGCAAGTGAATGTGTGCACATTTCATCGAGTAAATCATTTTCGCTATACTTTCAGCTACTTGTTCTTGCTAAGTGTGTATTTATTTCCCCATCACTTCTTGCTACTGTGAGAGCATGTGCTGCAGCTTTGCATAAGGAAAGTATGCAAAACTGGCGAAGCGATGACTGCAGGCTGCAGTATTATTCAACCATTGCTCGTATCCAACCAGTCTGTTTAATATATTTATTAGTTTATTTCATTGTTTAGTATTCGTTACACTGTCATGTGATGTCTCAAAAGCCCGGTGTAAGCCCTGTGCTCCAAAGTCCCTAAGATAAACGACATTGGCCAGAGTGAGTGAGTGAGTGTGTGAGAGAGTGTGTGCATGTGAGTGTGCGTGCTTGTGTGTGTGTTTGTTTGTGTGTGCGTGTCTGCGCCTCCAGATGGAACTAACGGGACACTGTACCGCGCATGGAAGACCACCATAGAACACCGCGCTCCCAAACCAAGAAAACACTTCCCTCAATTCTTTGGTCTCGTCTGTCCTTTCCGGAGCTTGTGTTTTTAAGCCTCGGTTCAGTGAACTCGCTGAACCACTACCGCTGTGCTTAAAATAAAAACGTACGTGCAACACTTGCACCACATTTCGTCCGAGCGGACGATGCTAGACCGCCGGGGATCTAATAATGTCCACCGTACTGCTTGACGTGGATCCGCTCTTAGATAGCGGAACAACCTGTCACGGTCTTTTTCTGCACTTGGGTCGATCGCGCAGAAAGCGTATCGCGTTCAACCTGTCGCGACGTGACATGGGACGAAAATAGGCGGGACGCTTCCCCCTGCAGATGGGCGACAGAGCCGACGAACAGGTCGCACACTATAGCAGCGCGCGTCTAATACAATCACGGTGTCACCGAGCCGGCCAACGGCGCCCAGTATTGGTTCCACGATGCAAAAAGTTTCCGACGAAGTTCATATCGGCAACTTCCCGATATAAACTCCGTAGATGTTGAAGCTTAAGAATGAAATACTTTTATTAATCTTACGCTGTCCGGTTTGTGTTCATGTCATTAAAGCCGAGCTTCACACGTCGATCAGTCGTACCTAGATTAGCGCAAAATAAAAATAACAGGGTCTGCTATGCATTCGCCTGACTACTCGTCGTCGTCGTCATCGTTGTTGTTGTTGTTGTTGTTGTTGTTATTGTTGTTATTGTTGTTGTTGTTTTTGTTGTTGTTGTTGTTGGTGTTGTTGTTGTTGTTTTCTACCACGAAAGCAGCCTGTACTTCACCTGATTTCGCATTGCAGTGCCTTCATGGTCACCCCGCCCTTGTTATCAAGTTATCTGTTATATTAGGTTTTACCTAGTTATATTATCTGTTATTATTAAACAAAGACGTTATGTGATGATGTCAGCAGGTGGCTTCTTTACGTTATGTGTCGCCATAGTGAAGGCATGCGACGTCACATGAAGGTGTGATCCCATGATGATGAGTTTTTGCATCAGTCGTGTTGACGTGCGTCGAAAGACGCCGATGCCGACAATCACTTTTCTCTTTTGATGAGGCATCTAAGGCATTCGCCTTAAATATATGCCATAAAATGCTTTGTTGGGCACATTTGTTCATACTCGAATAGATTCGAGCGCAAATGGACAACACACAAGGAGAGAACGAGTGTCCATTTGCGATCAAAGCTATTCCAAAAAGACACCACCTGAAGAGTGTAATACGGCACCCGTTCGCGGGCATGTGTCGATTTTTTTTTCCTGAGCTTCACATTAAATTTCGCGTTCCTTTTTTTGTTCTTTCAGTCTTTGCCACATGAGCCGTAATAGTTCTGTTTGATATCTTACACGCACAGTTCTCCAGTCTACAATTCACTGTAAATATGAGCTGTGTCTTTAGAATGTTTAAAACAAGAAGTTCGACGTCACACTCTTTCTTTTATATGTCTTTTTTCTATGTCTAATCTTTAGTTAATATTCCAAATATTTACATTTTTACATGAAAAATTACTGGCCAATCCCCCAGTGCGGGTACGAGCCATATGAGAAGGAACACCAGCTTCTTCCTCATCGCCCGTCTCGTGCTTTGGTTCCATCGTCCATCTGATGACCTTCGCCCGAATTAACATCGAACGGTTTGCGTCCGCTTTGCATGTTTTCGAATCGTGTATCTTCGTCCAAGGCGCACAACAGCGTAAGTAATGCAACTGCCGCTATTACTCTGGAGAGGACGACAGCCGCTGTTTACCTTCCGTTGGTTACGCAATGGTTTAAGTGTTGGTCTCTGCACACTGGATGCGATCTTTAACACATTTAATGGGAAAGCAAAGCTTAATGACATCACATGTCCAGCATTGATTGATTGATTGATTGGTTGGTTGGTTGATTGATTGATTGATTGATTGATTGATTGATTGATTGATTGATTGATTGATTGATTGATTGATTGATTGATTGATTGATTGATTGATTGATTGATTGATTGATTGATTGATTGATTGATACGTGAAGTTTAACGTCCCAAAACCACCATATGATTATGAGAGATGGCGTAGTGAAGGGCTCCGGAAATTTAGACCACCTGGAGTTCTTCAGCGTGCACCCAAATCTGAGCACACGGGCCTACAGCATTTTCGCCTCCATCGAAAATGCAGCCGCCACTGCCGGGATTCAATCCCGCCACCTGTGGGTCTGCAGCCAAGTACCCTAGCCAATGACCACCACGGCGGGGCCATGTGCAGCAGCATTACTCATTCAGTTACGGCAACATGAAAATACATTGAGTTAGGCCTTCATACATATTGCTAAATGACAGTGGAACGGTGCAGAGGGAATGTAATTAGGGAGGTCTATGAAAAAAAAGGCGATCAATTGGTCGTACACTGTCCCATTATCTTAATTTAGCTTACCTTTATGCCTGCACCTATACCTGCACCAACGTTGCGCGCCATGCTAGCGTCTATATACGGGAGGCGAGGGAGGGTGCAGTTGGCAGTGCCGAGGTTGATTGTGAGGTACCAGCACTGAGTCTGGTCCTGTTTATCATGGTTTTTGTTAATAGTGGAAAAATGTGAATAGGAATATTCCCCGCGGCATTACAGTTTCTCAGCCGACAGAGTCAAAAACATATCTCGACCAAAATCCGCAGAGCTTTTCGTTCGTTACAAATTCGTCCAATTACCTTGAGAAAAATGATAGCTTATGACCACCTCGTGAATACGGAACCAGGATCTGTAATCACAGGAACACCACATAGATATCTCTTGAAGACAGGCAGATGTATCACGGCAGCTCTGTAACGAATACAAAGGACAAGATGAAGACAGGTCATGCTCTGGGCTCGCAAGTGACTTGTGAGTACAGCGCATGTCCTGTCTTCATCTTGTCCTTTCTATTCGTTACACCGCTACCGTAATACGTCAATATGAACCCAACACAACTCGCTCACCTAGCCGTTATTCCATTCAGAGACATTTTGTTGTACAAGCCCTGCCACAAAACAATCTGTCGGGCACACTTCTATACTTGTATGTGCTTCTATTGCTAACACATAAAGAAAGATGTTTCTGACGTCAGCAACTGCGTGCAGGTTGCCGTTGACAAACTCGGTCGAGATGATGGTCCTGGCCGCCGCTTTCGGCGCCTCCTTTGTGGCGGGCGCCATGTTCGTGATTCTGCTGCAGGTCTACCTCATGTTTCGGGTCATCACGTTGCCCGCGCTGCACCGCGAGAAGGTCGGCAGGAAGTACGCGCCTGCAACCATACCTCAGGTGATCATCAACGTGTTAGCTCATAATTTAATTGTGCGCTGCGGAGGAGCACACAGAGACGAAGCGGAAACGAAAGGAACACGAAACGAACGCGTACGTGTTGTGTCGTTATATAGTACCAACTGTCCTCAGAGTAATCACTTTTGAACTTTTGTGTTTTTTTCGGTTATTTTTCAGCACGTTTTTTTCTAGACATCACCATCACTCATGTCACATGCGCATCATCATGTCACGTCACCGTAGTACCTATCTCGCAGTGCCCAACTTTCAGGTCTGTTTCGTTAGCTCTTCAGCAGTTAATACTATTATTATTGTGTAGTAAAACGAAACTGACAATGCAGTGCAGGTATGAACTCCTAAAGTAAGCACCGGTTTATGGTATAAGAACCCATCGTCATCATCATCGTCATCATCATCAGCCCGATTACGCCCACTGCAGGGCAAAGGCTTCTCCCATTATCTGCCAATCAACCCGGTCTTGTACTTTTGCTGCCTCGTATACCTGCGAACTTCTCAATCTCATCACCCCACGTAACGTTCCATCTTCTCCTCGTGCGTGCGCCTGCTCTGAGAATCCATTCAGGTGCACCTCCCATTCAGTGCCACTTCCTGTATAGCAAGTACACTCATTTAATGTATATCGAAATACGGACGAGATAATAAAAGTGATCGAAACTTGTCAACTCCGTATTTAGTACGCGTTGACAAAGAACAACATCAGAGGGCGGATTTTCCTCGACGCAGAAACTTCTCAAGGCCATCACGAACGAAGATTGGAAGAAAGAGCGCGACACATTGCTCGTGGCCAACCTGGCTTCCCAGTTTCTATTCAGGGAGTGGAAGGAATCCGCTCTGATCCGTCGGTAAGTGATACGACGGTTATCTCTATAAAAAGCGAATCACTGACGTTTGTCTTAAAGGAACACCAAAGATGAAAACTATTTTTCACGCATTAGTGAATTGCGAATTCAAAATGCAGAAAGCACCACTTTATTGTGAGTAGGCAATTTATACGAGCGAAAACGCTCGAAAATACAATTTGGGTGGCGCTGCCACGTCGAAAATTCTAGCATCGAACACCGTGACATCAGAGAACTTGTCCGCGTCTACACACCTACGCTTGTATAGTCGCCAATTGGTAAAGTGCGAGGGAGCCATAGAAAAGTTTCCGGTGACCTTATTCAGCCATTGTCGCCATAATACGAAGCATACCATTTCACGTTTGTGACGTCACGTGAGGAGATTTTTACGCGATATGCAACTTTGGCTTTCATTTTCTCCCGTATTAAGCAGCACATAATGGTGAAATTGACGACATAAGGATTCTCAGGGTACAATTTATCAATTCAGGTCCATTCTTGGAGGGAAACAGGGCGAAATAGGGAAGACCAGGCAAATGAGCACGACTTCCCAAGCAACCACTTTAGCTATAAGTCCATTCGTCGTTTCGCCTTTGTATCGTACATCGTATATCCATCGTATATCCTCCTATCGTATCCTCCTATCGTAACCATCCTATATCCTCCTAAGACCTTGCAATGGGAGATTTGTCCAATATATTGAACAATAGAACACAGCTCGCAACGACTTTCGAAGCGCTTGCCTCCTAATTGGAAGCTCTTTTTACTCTGAGGCTCGCTCACACCTGCGACTACAACTGATCGCGCGACTAAGTTAATCGCAAGGTGATATCCACTTTGGTCGCAAAGTGACTGCTTCGGCTCAGTGGCACTCCGCTCGATTTTCCGATTAGCCCTCATTCAAACGCACACAAACACACACATTTTATGCAAATGTTTGTGGGTCGATATGTCAGCCAGTGTTTGTGCATGCAGGACATATATATAGCTACCACAAGAAACCAGTCAATATAACAGCGTTCCTTTACAATACGAAACAAGGGCTATGCAAAGTTGCAACCTTATATTGAATTGGAGATGGGTCAATGGGATTTATGCCGTTCAATCACGTACGCCCGTACTTGGGGCTTGAAGGCAGGGTTCAACCTCTTGGAATTTGCATCACGAGCAGGAATTACTCAGGAAGCTTGCACGTGGAAACTGTCTGGCTTAAAAGGAGCCTCAGAATGCAAACTGTGGAAAAGAGCAATTAAACGTCTTTCTAGCCACCCAATAAATGGCCGCTAAACAACTCCGTGTACAAAGACGAGAGAGTGGCATTATTTCTCACCTTCATTACCCCTCGTACCTTTTCTTCGTCACTTATTTGTTTATGAAAGGAGTTGATAATAGTAGCACTGTTAGGCATGGAGTCTATCATGATTTCACAATTTTAGCGAAATGCCGTTATCTCCACTTGCGCAGTCGTGACCGCGCGAAACGACTTGAAATCGGGTGACCGCGCACTTGATGCGACACAAGGCAAAACGTGCGTGCGATTGCATTGAGTGCATGGCAACGCCGAATAAGAAACATGTAGCTAACAAGCGAATAAGCATCGTATATCCTCCTCACACCTAGCAATGGGAGATTTGTCTAATATATTGAACAATAGAACACAGCTCGCAACGGCTTTCGAAGCGCTTGCCTCCTAATTGGATGCTCTTTTCACCTGCTATGCTGGGACCCGCGCTGCCATTTAGCGGATATGGTTAAAAGGCACCGCGCATCTCGTCTCTCTAGGATCGTTGCAAATGCCGGGAATGAGTGCGAGCGACTTTTACGGCAGACACTCAGGAAGTGGGTAAATTTTTATACGAGCTTTAGCGCGTGTTACCGCGTACTTAAGCATTAATTTGTGTTAGTAAAGATTACAAGAACACGAAAAAAATATTTCAGTATGCCATAAAAAACGGTCTCTGGAATCGCAATTCTCAATATATTTGACAACATGCTGCGGCAAAGTAAAATCAAATACAGAAAATATACGGCACACATTTCACATTTGAACTAAGAAAAACACTTCTGAAAGTTTAGAAAGAAAAAGCCCATGACCCTAAATTAACTCTGGATCTCAGAGATATATTGACGAATAGAGAGATCGTGTCCTCCGGACGTTACGAGAACAGACTGCTGGCGTCACGAATTGTGCCGTAAAGGCAGGAAACGCAAGGAGCAAGTAGAGAGATCCAGATTATATAGTGTTTTATCTATAGCCACTGCGGATGCCTCGTACATTATGACCACAGACGCCTCCGTTAAAGGGCCCGTAAACAATCGCGAGGTTCAAAAAGTTTTGCAAAAAGAAATATGTGCATTTGATTTGTGGGGTTTTACGTCCCAAAACCACCTTATGAGAAACGCCGTAGTGGAGGGCTCCGGAAATTTCGACCACCTGGGGTTCTTTAACGTGCACCCATGTGCACTTTTGCTTTGTGAACATGGCACCTGAAGAATTTTCCGAGTACGCACTATATTAATGAAGTTACAGGGGTTAGAACATCGTTTTCAGCTGCTTTTGAATTTTCCTACGGCCGCGTCACCCTTCTCTCTCACAGGGAAGGCAAATCGTAGCCTGTCGTCATGACTGGTTTAGAGCAATCGACGAGCTGCGTGCTACGTAAAGTCACCTACCGGCGACTTTGCGTCACTGTGCGGGAGAATAGGATTGGTCAGGCGTAGGAAAGAAGCGCGGGAATTGTTTTTTTTTTATGGAGGCTTTGGCAGCGCTGTGATATTTGTAAACCTTGATTACTGTGGCCTACTCTACGAATCGCCGAGCTTTTTTTGCGGGGTGTAAAAAAAAAAAAGAAGTCGGAGCCTGTTGACTGGCCATTTAGGAGATGAAAATAGCGTGCGTACCCAGCGAACGCTATGTTCGCGCACCCCATTAAAGAAACTGCCTAATAACGCGGCCGTTCTTTGTATTTTCAAAAGTTGTTTAGCTACCCCATATTGCGCGAACAGATGCAACAATTGCACAGTTCTCACGCTTGTTCTCTGTCTTTTACCTCCTCGTCTTCCTTTTGCAGAGTCTTTTTCTCGAAAATAAACAAGGCGTTTCGTGCGGTTCTTCGTGGTCCAGCCAGTAAGGTCTTAAACAAACTTCAAGTAAGGACGAAGGTGACAGTGCAAGAAAGTAAACTCATTAAATCACGCACGTTCTCTGTTGTGCACTTTCAGATAAGAGAGATTGACTTCGGCAATGATTTTGTGAGCGTCAACAAGATAGCGGTCGAAAGCGTCACTCTGCACGAGATATGGAAGACAATCGAGGTAAGCGCGCACTTTACACTCAACGCACGTGTTATTTAGCAATTGAATAACGATATTAACCTATGGTCGCACCAAAGGTGTAGTGCACGCGTAGCCTGCATGACAGTTCGTTTGTCGTTCAATCAGAGGCTGCTACATCGAGTTTGGTAACACCAACGCAGGCAAAAGATAAAAGCTTATTTTTGCCGATTGCAGAAGGCTTGTGAAAAGAAACGCTGGCAACGGCGAGAGGAGATACAACCTGATTCCATGGTCTTCAAATGTCGCTTCTCGGTTTATTTTTGCTTCGTCAGCGTTAGGAACCCTGCCACACTTCTTCAAGTAGTCAACGGTTGACTTTATTAAAGTAGTTTATTGCCTCCCGGATTGACCATCGCAAAAAGTTCAAGTATGAACGAATTTAGAGAGATTTGTTGCACGCTGTACTTGCTTTCTCTTCAGTCACGACGAGCTCGCTGGAAGCCAAGCTGGGAGGGATGGCAAGGGGGAAAGAAGTTACGTCACGCGCGCATCATGACCTTGCGCTCTTTCTCTTCCTTTCTTTTTCTTTTTATAACGCACCGCTTACTTTCAGTGGGATCGCGAGCGAACGCACTGGCTGGTGGCGGCCTTCTGCGGCGGTCTCGATAACTATGCGGCTCGTGATGCTCAAATTGGCCAATGGCCATGCATTTGAGTAACAAACACCATTTGTAGAATGAAGAGAATGATTTCTAGCTGAATTTTAAAATTCTCACTTCCATGCTGCGTGATTCGCTATAACGTCTGGTTAGCTCACACGTCCTTAGGAGTCTAGCATAGCGATTGGCAGCTCTTTCTGACCACCATGAAAATGTGTTGCAGGGCCGCTTTATAGGTCATAGACAAATATGAAGTTTTTAGTTATGAATTCAAAAAATTACTTTTTGAATGAAAATTTTCAGGGGACCACACATAATACGTTGGAGAGTACGATAGCAACCGTGGAATAGTATGCGAAGAGTTTCTCACGCTCTAGCGAGGAGACTCTTTAGACGTCGGCGAATGTGCACTCGTTTGTCTTGGGCCCATGCAATAAAAAGTTTTAACACCTGACCGAGAATATCTAGAATACACCAACATTTTATAATGGTAAATCAACTAAAAAAGCTGTATGAAAATAGGGACCCGTTCTTGTTAGACACAGCCATAAGAATACTGCATGTAACGAAGCCAAGGAAAGCACACGATGGCGTTATTTGTAATGTTATTTTTGATTTCTAGCGCGTGCGCGTGCAGGAAATGAAAAACAATTTTCAAACCTCACAACTGCCCTATACCTATACATCATTCTCACGACGACGTGTTTCTCGCATAAGCGAGAGAGCGCCAGCTTCGTCAATATCGAGCACGCGTACGCGTACGTTCGCACAGCTGTCTCCGCAATAAAATATTTCGGTACATTGGATAACACTTCATGATAGAACTTCCCACGGTGTTGCCCACTGAAAAAGCAAGTAGTATAGCATCGAATGGACATGGGCCGGGCATGTAGCGCGTAGACAGGATAACCGCTGGTCATTAGGGGAACTAACTGGATTCCCAGAGAAGGGAAGCGGGTTAGGGGGAGACAGAAGGTTAGGTGGGCAGATGAGATTAAGAAGTTTGCGGGTATAAATTGGCAGCAGCAAGCACAGGACCAAGTTAACTGGCGGGACATGGGAGAGGCCTTTGTCCTTCAGTGGACGTAGTCAGGATGATGATGATGATGATGATGATGATGATGATGATGATGATGATGATGATGATAGCATCGAGTGTGCGTGAACGCCAGACGCGCTGTTTTTCCATTCCTTCCACAACTAATCACCGTGCTTCGGTTGGCGCTTCCGTCATCATAAGTCCTACTGTCAGCGGGTTCATTAATCTCACCCTTTTCACGTCGATGGCGTATACGAGCGGAACTGAGCGGTTATATTTTATCTCCGAAGTTGCGTGCTACGTTGGCAAGTAACGTTTTCAGCGTGGGTCCCAGCTGCTGCTAATGCCTTGCAGGAAAGAAAATCGAAGTGCCTTATGCAGGCGAATGTCTTACATGCTTTATCCAAGTGAAAACTGACCATCGGCGTACCGCGAAATCGGCGTCAACACATGTGATGCGTAAATCATCATCATGGGACGGTGGTCACCTTATATCGCCATCATTACGTCATAGTTCACCGAAGTTTGTTGCATCATGGCGTTATTATGACGTAACATAAGCGCCATCAAATTATGGCGTCATTACAATACATCGTCATATGGTGAAAGGCTAGCAGATCACGGAGGCAACGCAGAACCAAGTAAGGTGCAGAACGGTTGCAATGCCTCTGAACTTGGAGGCAGTGTAAAACAGCGTTAGCTACACTAAGCTGTAGTAGGAGTGGAGGAGGACTTATTCGGCGATAAATAAACACATGCCTTTAGTTTTCGAGTATTCTTAGAGGCGAATGCACAAGAAACCCCGCAAGCCTTTTTGCGTGTAATGTGCTGACGCATTCGCGGCTTGCGCGTCTCGGCAGGAGCTCGATGTGTTCTGCAACATCGAGTACCCGGGTGGCCTCACCATCGGCGTCGACGCTGAGCTCAACATGGGAGCACTGGCCTCCGTGGTCATCAAGGTTCAACACTTGGCACTCAAGGGTCGCCTGCAGTTTTCCCGGAAGCCGTACACCCACTGGTCCTTCGCCTGTTACGAGGTCGGTTGCTGGTTGGCCGACGACCACTATATATGATACCAGAAAGCCCACGTGTAAACGCTCTCTACGCCAGAATAACCCCAGATTGATTCTGATTGGTGGGCACACCTGACACGGTAGCTTAATGGTTATGCTGCTCGACTGCAGACTTGAAAGTCACGGGATCGAATCCTGGCGGCGCCAGCCGCGCATCTTTGGAGGCAAAGTGCTGGAGGAGGAGGATTGAAACAGGAAGGACAAGGAGGTTTCCTCTGCACATGGGTTATTAGGTGCATGTTAGGCACATAAGATCGTCCAAATCTTCTGGGGCCTCCCACCATACTGCATCGCTTATAATTTTATTGTGGTTTCCAGGCGTAAAACTCTGGCAAATTATTGATTACAGGGCCGTCCCACAATGTCTACGCCCCTACTGAAAGAAAAAAAAATTGCCAAAAACTTATTTTTGATAGTTTTATTTGAGAGTATTTTCCCCGAGATGAGTCATGTAGAGTGCAGAACATGATTCAGAGGAGTAGCAGCGCACGTGTATAGCTGCTTTGGTGTCAGGGCAGGTAGCGAGAATTAACCAGTTCTGTCGTTAAGGGACCTCTTACTACTCTGTTAAAATCCGTAACGGCTCTCTAATAAACGTTTCTTTCAAAGTTAATTAGCCCTAAACACCACACCAGTATTTCGTGATTTATTTATTTACTTATTTATTTATTTATTTATTTTTTGACTACTTGTACATGAAATATTTCACGTCCTGCTTTACTTGACGAGCAATGATCATCTCCAATATTAGCCTGAAAACGTATGTACTTTTCTGTGAGCCCGCGAAGCTGCTTCTTAGAAAACGTCAAGGCCCATATTCACAAAAACGGCTCATGCTATAATTGTCCCTGCGTGGGAAAAAAAATTGGCCGATCATGATCATATCGTTAACGAAATCCTCTAGCCAATTACAATGGGCGCTGACAAACGAATACGTTCGTTAACCGGCCTCAGCTTACATCTCGCGGGATGCACTGCAGCAGTCATCGCGTGCTCTCCTGCAGCAAACTATAAAACTTGTCATATGTTTCTACGGCACACAACACGGTTCTTCCACGGGGTTGAAGACATGTACCAGGAGCGAAACTCGCGAAGCTGAATGAGCCTGGCCGCAAGCGTCAGGGTAGAGTTAAAATTTACTTTTAAGAATTGCGTAAAACATTGTCTTGTAAGTATACGGTCTTAGAACTCTAACTTTTCCAATTTCATTCTAGTTATATAAAACACGTGCATTCTTTTTTCCTGAATACTGCAGGAGCCGAAAGTCTCCCTAACAGTCGAGTCGTCGCTTCAGGGCCAAAATTATCCGCAGCTAGCGAGAGCAGTAGTTGGACTGGTAAGTAAATGCACGTTCGCGAAAACAAAAGCCTTCCCGCAAAGTGGCCCATTTTCGCTTTATTTCACTCACTTCAATGCGTTCGCATAGGCGTAACCATAAGGACCCCCCCCCCCCAATTTCTTGATATTCGAAAGAAGCCAGCAACCATGCGGCCTCCGGTCTGATTCCAGAAACCACCCCTTTGCCCTTGTTGCTTCCTATTTTAAGGCCAACATGACATTTAAGACCTCAAGTAGGGTACGACATCACTTCCTAAGAAACATTGCTGTCACTTGACATTGGGCCCCCATCTTGAGACTTAGCTAAAATTTAGCCAAAATGAAGCCATTCTTGGGTTGTCTTGTGCCTTAATGTCGATTCACCAGTTTCCTTTTTTTTTTTTGCTTACGAAGCACTCCCTCTCCGTGATTTACCATGCTGCACTCAGTCTTGTCCGCTTCGTGCAATTTGGCCCTCCGGTTTGAGAGGTTGCCGGCTAAAAAATGTTGCAATTTAATGGACGGTGAAGAATGCTAATTTTGGCCGATACCTTCACACAATCAAACCTTTCACGTTATTCTTTAATGTGCGAGGTTATGAATACGCGTGTTGTTTTTGTTTGTTTTTTTATGATAAAGGCGACCATCGGCTGCTGATATGCTACAAAGAGAATCTGCTTGCTCCCTATCTTACACAGGGAAAACCACGGAAAAATGACAGCAGCCTCTGTGAGAGGCACGTCACCTCTTGATTGTTGTTTTATTTCTGCATCCACTGCAGAGCTCCTTTTGTTTAATTACCTCTCTCAAGAAGGGAAGGAGGGGGATTAGATTTTTGAAATGAAATGAAAGAAGAGTGGGGTCATGTGACGTGGTAACTGCCTTTCAGGCGACGACACCACAACTACTCCTTTTGTTGCGGGCTCAACCAACGTGGTGGAAGAGGAAGGGGAAGGGGGAGGTGCACACCACGTTGAAATTTGACCCCACCTAATGAGTAAACCTGCACACGTCAATGTGTGTTCATTATACCTAATCCAAAATTTCAGCTCTTTGAAACAGGAACCTACTTTTGTATAGTTCTCCACGTTCCGCAGAAGCAATTACTGCACCTTACGAACATAACACCGCTTTTTTTCCCCTGTACGTTGTCATCCGTGACAGCATGCTTTCGAGAGTTCATAACAAAAGTTCCCTGAGCGTAAAAACTATATATTGATCGCAGTCATGAATTTCACTAATTTTTAGTTCTATGTTCTCGTGGCCTAATAAAGCCGAGTCATTGGAGTAGCCAGAAAAGGGGGAGGAGTTTAACACACCCACTCTAATTACTTCAAAATTTTGCACTTGTATATATACACGCACACATACAGACGCACAAACCTAGATAAAAGGTGGTTGAACTAACTTCCTCTCGAGGGGTTTTTTTTTTTTTGGCTATGGTCCTGGTCACTGTCCTGAAAGCACCTGCAAATTCGAAGTTCAACCTACTATCTCCGTTCGAACTTCAACCTACTTTGCACCTTCATACAGACATCAAGCCTTAATCTCTGTCGTAGTAAACAAGCTTTTTTGTTTGTAAGTACTATCTATCACTGCTCATGGCGTTCGAGATTACATATCTCGCTGCAGCATGTGGTTGGCTAACACCTTCTCTTATCCCCTAAAATTGCACGTAGTATATCGATTGTCAACCAATTATGGCGTTCGAACTCTACGGTTTCTCTTCTCAAAAGCATATGTGGCTCCTATTCAGAATACGTTCTTCTGCTAAGTAATCGAGTTAGAATCTGATGAAAACGTACACGTAACATTTTGACCACCGATAAATCGCGGGAGGGAAAACGAGAGCGTCCGTGAAATCGCTCCCAGGTGCGACGCAAGCTGCGGGCCAAGTTCAACCTGCCGACTTACTCGATAGCGATCAAGCCGTTCTTCCTGATCCCCGAACTGCGCGTTTTGTCCACGCACCACGAGAAGCTGAGCCAGAACGGCACCCTCGAGATAACGGTCGTGGAGTGCTCCAGGCTGGTGCTCTGCGAAGGCTCCTTCCAGCTGTACTGCATGATCTCCCTGGGTGAGGAGAACATGAAACGCTCGTTAATCTTTTTTTTTATTTTGTTTGTGTTCTGTTCTCGTAATTCTGCATTCCTTATAGTTATAAAAAGTATGCCAGGAAAGATACATCAATGAGAACAAAATTTTGGGAGAGCTGATAATCCATAACTTAAGAACAACTACACCAAAAAACGGGGGGGGGGGGCAGCAATGCCGGTAAGCGCGATCTTTCAGGATAAATTGCTGTACCACTGAAACTGTTCTTATACTGGCGCAGTATACATTACGCAGACGTGTACATGGACGCAATAAAACCTGCATGTGCGTGTACTATGAATTGAACAACAGGTAAGAGTTGGAAAAATGCAGCCGCCAAGAAGATAAGTTCTTTTGTCAGTGATATAGGTGAGCTAATGCATCCGTCACACAATTTCGCGATCGTCCCAGCCTAACCGACCTCACACTCACCTGCTTTCTGCCACAGAATATAATCATGAAAAGAATAAACGAAGGCATACAGCCAAAATACATAGGCGGCAACATGCGAAGAAAACACCTCAGTAGCATCAAACATCGTTAGCTATTGCATAACATAATCTTCTGGAAACCTGTTCTTCACTTACTGATACACTATTATCAACATAATTAGGCTGAATACTTCTGATGCTGATACATACATACATACATACATACATACATACATACATACATACATACATACATACATACATACATACATACATACATACTACATACATACATACATACATAATACATACATACATACATACATACATACATACATACATACATACATACATACATACATACATACATACATACATACATACATACATACATACATACATACATACATACATACAATACATACATACATACATACATACCATCAATACATACATACATACAATACATACATACATACATACATACATACATACATACATACATACATATACCACATTTTATTTTTTTATCCGTTGTGCCTGAACTACATTGTGTACTGTACAACAATCGATAATATAGCTAGTTGGTAACGGTTCCTGAAGATGTTGAAAAACATGACAAAAAAATTACACGAACACGAGAAGAACATAAATCACACCACATCAGTGTGCTGCTTGTCATGTTCCTACTACAGCGCATCCTGTGTTCATACTGGTGTGTCCGTGTCGTTTCTGGGATGTGCTTTAAAATGTTCAACAACATAATTTGTATGTATTCTCATCCAAAATTGATAAAGATATAGTTCTTGCATTTTCATTTGCAATTTATTTTCTTCACAAGTGAAAGGTTATAGTATATTTTATCACTACAAATTTATTGGCCACAACCCCCCCCCCTTTTTTTTTCTTTCCATCTGTATACTCTCGTTGCTTCTTTATTCGCAATATAACTGCTCGAGTCGTTATTTTTTTTTACTCCCTCATATCCTGGCCCCATAAAGTCCTTCGCATGCCACAGCTACTAATTTCTAAAGAATTCCCAATTTTATATTGTACAAAGGTTGTTTTGTCTAAAGTCCTTGCCACAGGTCGGTAGTGTCCGCTCTTCCAATGATTAATATCATGCGAGCGTTAAGCCCTGGACATTGAAGCGCCTAATAGATGGCTCACACTGACTTCCTTGTAAGCGCCATGTTGGGGCACGGCGTGTAGGACACGAGATTTGTGACGTCGCTTTAATGTTATCAGTGCCTCACATCCCCAGGCTCTTTTGTTACTAACGCTGTTGTCATACTGAAGCATATCAAGTGCAATGCGGTTATGCTGCCTTTACGTCATCAAGGTCGCCATGTTCACGAACCAGTACGTTATGCAGCTGCGGCCATGACCTCACGGGCAAGCTATCTATAGTAGCGCGATTTCTCATATGATGAGCAAGGAGTGCGAGCGTACTTGATGCGAATAAGCATGGCAAGGTCCTCGCGGGGGGGGGGGGGGGGGGGGCGAAGGTTCGTCGCATTGCCCACCACCCTCTCACGTGACCAGGAAAACTGGCCACCCCTCCTCCCCCTCCCCCAACCATGCGCACGCATATGCTTTTGCGTGAGCGCCGTCTGCTACGCTGTTTGCTAAGAGGCGTGTGTGAGCACTATAAGCCTTATTAGTGTGGCCTTGTGTCCAGAAAGCCAGTGTGACGCTGATCGTCGTATTCCTGATCTCGTTGCTTCTCAGCCTTATTAGAAACTATACCGTATCGTGAAGTCGACGCTCATGCTTCACGTATACAAGATTGCAAGGGTGCACGTCAATAACGCATGTTCACAAGCATCAGCTATAGGCTTTTCACAAAGCGAGTCATTCATCTATCTTTGCCACAGACGAGTTCGAGTGGATCGACATGGACGAAGTGCTGGGAACGCCGTGGCAGAGCATTTCCCTGGAGCTGCTCAAGCCGGTCGGCACAGCGCTCGGAGTCGAGTTCAGGAACGTACGAACCCTTGAAACATATCATCACCGCATATACATTGCAATGTCTAAACTGCACATCCGAAAAAAATCTCATTTTCTGGTGTGTGCGTCCATTTTGAAAACTCGCAATGAATGTCCCCGTAGTTTTGGCGTCATCGACGCGGTGCGCGTAGTGCCTGAACCTTTCAGAACAAAGGCGCAGTCTTACGCTAAGAGCCATTCAGCACACTGGCAGCACATAGCATGGCTGTGGTGTGTGCCACTTTGGCCATGACTCTTGCCACTGCAAGCATATTCAAGAATGAAAGCTTAATCACCAGCAGTGCAGACACACATTTTTCTATTTCAGGGGGGAGTGAAGGAATATCCGACCAAGCTTTCGGTGTTCTTGCGCATTTGTGTATGTGTACGCGTATGTAGTACCTACATACAAAGTGTAGAAATATCGTGTGCGTGTGGGGAAAAGGGGAGGACTTGAATCCTCAAGATCTCGGCAAAGAAGGATAATGTGTCATGTCTTACTATTTTTACATTTCCAGGGCGCTGTAGATGTGCTTTCAGTGCAGCTATGCATTAATCTTACGTGCCGTTCATTGAATGTTTTTTTTTCTCGAAAATAAGTATAACAGTAAGCTGCACAGAAAAAGTGCCCTGTACGAGTTCACATGCAGTGCTATTACTGCGCAACTGTTACGTCGTGTCATCATCTCAGACGCAACGCCGTATAGCGGGTGCCCTGGCGTATTCTTCTTGCTTTGCATATCAGAAAACGGTGGAAGGGAGACGCCGCGAAGTCGTCTACGTCGAGAGCCTCTCTCGCAATTCTCCGCTCGCCGCCGGGGGGCTTCAGGTGGTAAGAACACCCTGCCCACTTCGGGTTCACTCTGTTAATGAAGTTGGACATGGAATAATCAATTACAGATCATGTGCAGACGAGAGTGCCAGAGAAAGTCTAACGACTGCAACAGGATCACGTAGAAGTGTGGCAGCTTGGGCTAGTTGGTATGACACGACGATAGTTCTAGCGCGAGTACAGAACGACGACACAGAGACAAGAAGGACTTCGTGTTCTTCTTGTCTCTGTGTCGTCATTATGTTCTCACGCTATAACTAGGATCACGTAGTTTGAAGCTTAGACTAGTCGTATCTTGAAGCATGGAGCGAAATTGCAAGTTTACTGCAGTGCAATATTGTTGAAAACGCCTTTAAGAGTATATGCAAGATGCATCTTTCGTATTACAAGGAATCTAACATTCTTGCGGTAATTTCTAGTGTAAGAATGTGTTAGGCAATGCGGCATGTCAATGTCAGATGGAAACAACGTAATCACTTTTTATTGGGGCAGCTTAACTTGCAGGATGTGGCAACAAATACCAGCACTGTATATATCGATAATTGCCGCTAGAAATGTTGAATTATTTAACAAAAAGTTCATTCCAGCGTTCGATTGATGCTATCTATGTATTGCATAATTATTAGTATCTCAAAAACGTGAATTTTGCGTGAATAAACTGACTTTTCTACTATCCCGGCTTTCAGGGCGACCTGATTGCCAGCATCGATGGAATCCGAATAGTGGACTGCAAGCAAGCCGCCAAGGTCCTTTCCAAAGCCGGAGAGCTGTGAGTGCCTATTAGGCGACGTCGGGTGGTCGTCAGTTTGTTGCATGTACTTACGCAGCGGAAAACTGGCAAGCATCCAGCATGTATCCAATTATCTCTTGCCTCTGTGTACTTCGCGAGAGGGTATATCTTAACAAAATCTCATGAGATGTGAAACCACATGTTTCTCCTAAGTTCGTGCATGTGCGTGTGTGTGAGGGGGGGGGGGGGGGGGTGCGCAGGCTTCTTCGTTTTTGCGAACACTGACGAACTGAACGCTCATTTCAGGTTCATCATGAACGTCGAGAGAAAGCAGGAATTCAAGTGGGACAAGCAGAGGGCGCTCAGCATCTCAGGATCGTCAGAATACGTGCGTTCTTTATTACTGGACTCTGGACGTTCTTTTACTTGTTTTTGTTTCTTTATTTGTTAATTCTTTAAGTGCAACTGCAATGTGTTATTAACGCTAATCACCATGCCGCGAATACACCATTGAAAAACAACCTATACTTAACGCAGCGAAATAACATGTATAGGTTTACTATAGGAGCGTAACAGAGTAGGATTCTCAAATGATTTCGGCAAGGCTGAAGATCGGTTACCGACGATTTCTTTTTTTTTTTTCATTAAACTGTCACCAGCGCATCCTGAGATCAAACCCCCGACTTGAGTTCAGCTGCAGAGCATAACCGTTTAGGAGTCGCATCCTCAATTCTGCTGCGAAGTGTCGCTTTTGCATCAGAGCAGTATGTGACGCATTGTAGGTGATTCGTGAGACATGAGAAACCCAACTTGTGCAGTGTCTCAGTTCATTCACGTTGTGCGGCTATATACATATTGTCATTTAGTGCCACGCAGCACAAATAAGAGATCCAGCATAGTGCCACAAAATAGTACTAGATCGCTACTGCATTTTACTTTATCCGACTCGCTATACCTGCTCACCGTTTCTCCACAGCGTTCACGCTCCAGTCGAAAAATCAGCGTTTAGCGAACATTCTCTGTTTTGAGTACCGGCGCTTGATGGGGCCTTGCAACACTTGTTCAGCGTGGTTAGAAAACGCCATCGATTGGCAGTGATGGCTACTGAAAGCACGGGAGTAAAACATAATAACGCAACAGAGGGACCGTAATTTACGAAGAATTCTTAGTGAGCTAGACCGTTCCCTCGTCTTTCAACGAACCATGCCACATACCCAAATTTACGGTCATTGGCTGATTTGAACTTCGTAAGCAGCATAGTTACCGCAGCCACCGTGAGAGGCCACGACGTGCCGATGCGGGCGCTCACGATCACACTGAAATTAAGCTGCGCATTCGGTGAAAAAGAAATTTAAAGAAGCGCTCAAGGTCATGACGGTCACGTGACGTCACTTCCTTCTCCCGTGCCATCCCTCCCTGCTATAGTTTTCTGCATGCTCGTCGGGACGAGAGCTTGAGAAAGCGCTTAAAGCGTGCAAAAACTCTTTTAATTCTGTGGCGACTGGTTCGTGAGGCGATAAATACCTTTGATGCAGCCATTCGATGGCTACTTTGAAAAGTGTTTCAGGGCCGCTCTAACGAATGTTAGGTATGGCAAAGACATTCCCTCGTCCAATTCCGCATCATTGAACGAGGTCACTGTGTAGCCTATCTGCATATCAAAACAGTGGCACAGACACTACAAAATAACGTGCTTCTTTCGTTCATGAGCGTCTAATCATCAGGCGTGTGGCTGGAGTTTTGCAAACGTGCTCGGCAAAACGATGGAGTCGCTTTAAAACTTTTGATAGAGACGAGGTTATAAATTTAAAAAAAATGAAATGTTACCTCCCCACCGAAAGAACATCATTCCGCGATAAAACGAATACTCTTGGTACGGACCTGCGCAGGTTGACCACACGCTGACTCAGGAAGACAAAACCAAGATAAGTAGCAAGACTACCGACCTCAGTAAGTGCGTGCCCTTGGCAATCACGTGCCTGCATTATAGGGCATTTGGGTAATGGCATAAGTGCGTCAAATGCTACATATCGTGACGTAAGGCAGGCGACCGGTTCATAACAAGCCCCTCCTCTTTATTTCTGGACATCAAGTTTCTGAATAACTCTCGGCCACGCAATATGAAGAAATATGAAAGCAAAAAATTCGAAACTAAATGGTACTCGCAGAAATATCCATCTACACCGCATTGCTGAAGCTATAACTACAGACTCAGCGGTAAGCAGTGTTATTCGGCTATGCTGCTCTATCAGTCTAAGTCAGATTTGTACACGTTACTGAAAAAAAAAAAGAAAAAGAAACCGATTACGGGTACTATTACTACTCTATAAAAAGTAACTGATTAGAATTACAGCCTCTCAAAAGACATTGAAATGTTCCTCTAGCGTAATCGATTACAGCCATAGTTAGATTTAGTATGACGTAGCCCAAATATCAGACACCTGAAAGTCTAGTAGGAAAAAATCGCCAAATGCAGGTACGTGCTCTTTCGCGAAAAGTAATTTATAGGTGGGTGCTATTTCGTAAACTTTCACAGCGCTTAGCTTGAAATCTGGCGCGAAAATTTGAGGTATATAATTTTATGATTCATTAGAGCAAAAGAAAAATGAATTGTCAGGATCGGTTTACCTCCTTGAAGCAATTAATTCAAACGATACTTAAAATTGCGGTAAAATGTAATCACTACAAGCAATTCATGCTTGTGGCGCATTGCGCACAAGTTCGTGGTGGTACGAGTTTACATACAACTACAAAAACATCCGCGCTCTGCTCTATCATCATAGTGCTGCGTGCGGTATTGCAGCTGTGGCGTCATCAAGCGTATACCAGGCGAGGTACGGAGATCCCGCGGGAACTCCAAAGTTGGCGACACATAGGGCAGACCAAATCGTTGGAATTTGCCTCGGGTTGCCTGAGCTGTCGGTGAAGTCCGGCATTTACACCTGTACTGCTATACATATGGGGCAGAAAGTAGACTTGTACACAGTACACATAACAAGTAAGAAACTACAACTACAATTACTCCCTTTTAAAATGTAATTGATTACCGTGGTCAGTTATGGCATCAGAAGAGTAACAGAGTAATTACAGAAATTTAATTGTGTGGATTCTGTGATACGGCGTTAAACGTTAACTTTCAACAGGAGTGGCTTTTCAAAGTTGCAGTCGCTGATTATTCCACGTTTTCTAGACGTCATCTACTGCACTGAACACTCTTCTCAATGCATGCGCTGGAGGGAAAGGCGGTATTATGACGTAGTATAACACCAGCTCATAATTACGCATAGTTCCGATGCTAGTATCCACGCCCTCTAAGAAGCGTTGCACTTCGCTATTTCTGGCGCTGGGGCAAGGCATTGCCGGTAAGGCCAAGGAAAAGGGGTTAAAAATATATGCTCTGCAGGGCGCCCCGTCTCTACAGAGCGGTCGCATATTTTTCGGGACGAGAACAGTCGTAGAACACGGGCCCTAATTTTATTTTGAAATCAAAAGTAATTTGTCACCGGTAATTCAGTCCAAGAACATGTAATTCAATTTCCCAGAACGTTGCAGTTCCGAAAAATTATTCTATTATATTATATTACAAAACTACATGCAAATGTAATTGATTACAAGTATTTGAACACTTGAAACGCGTTACGTGCAACTCTGCCAGAGAGGATTAGGAAACGTAAGAAAAAAATTAAGTACTGCGCTTAGTGTGATGAAGCGGGAAATGTTAAACATGTCATTGGAACTGGGAGACCGCAGAGATCAAAGGAAGTAGCTGGTATTCAGTTGAAATCATGAGAGTGAGATAGAAGAGGGGGGTGCTACAGAAGCTGGACAGACTACGACAAAACTTTCTGGCTATGCCATAGGGCCCCACACAGTTCCCGTGCACACAGTAATTCACTTCTCCTAAAGCACATTTCACCCACAACAATGGTTTTTGTGTTTTTGTATCTAATGCGAAGCAGTTATATTTTTTCAGCTAGCAAACCTTGAGGTCATTCATAATTTCCGGCCATAGTGCATCACCCATTTGTCGAGAATGCCGGGCCCCAGTGGTCGGGACTGTCGTGTTCCCACTTCTGAAGCGGGAATGTGATGCAAAATTCTGCACTTAAACGAAAGTGAAGCCGGTAAAGTAACTCATAACTCCTTAATAGTTTTGTCTTCAAGTACGTAAACTGTTGCCATATTCAAACCTCTGCCGCACACAGGGTAGATCAACAAGTTTTGAGGCGGTCATGTACTACCTAGCAAAACCTAACTTTTTTTCTCGAAAGGTTAGAACTTCTTAACTGATTAATAACTCGTTACGGTAAGCCTTTAAAACAAGGAAGAAAAAGATGACCTAACTACGTTCTTACACAGCAGGAAAAAAAACAGTTTTTGGGTAAACTCATCGCAACTATTTTGAAGTGCTTAAGTATGAAATACTAGGATGGTCTCCCGATGAGATGATCACTTCCCGTACACCACAGAATGCAGCACTTCCCCTAAGTGGCTTTCTCTGCTATATTTTCCTATGCTATTCCGAATACCCATATCAAGCAGTCAATCGACCACCTGAATTTTCTATGCAGATAGTTAAATGATAATGTGATTTTACCGCAACACCTGAGCTACAAGTAGCATAACGCTGGCTGTGGCATACGTTTAATTTAATATGCCGGTCTCATTTTTTTCTTTCATATTGTGCGTAACGACGCAGACAGCAGCGAGCGTCCGGAGAAGAGAGGTGACAGCGCGGCGATTCTCATCAGAGCCAAGAACAAGGGCTTCCCAATAAAACGAACCACCTACGTTCTCTCCAACCGGGTAAGTTCAGGTCTGTGCTTGAATTGTGGCGTCTCATAAATACATTAGAGGGTAATCTAGTGCCATAATGTGTACGGGAGCTGCAACGCATGGCTCTTCAGTCAGCGTGGGAATGATGGCTAGTGCATAAATTTGCCGAATCTTCGTACTTTCGGCCCCGTTTGTCTCCATGTGGCCTGAATCTTCTGTGCTGCAAGGCGAAGTTCGGCAGAGGTTTAGCATTTACGCTTCACAATTGTGACCTTTTTTTAGGCTCGCCAATTCAAATTGACTCACGAAGTTCGTGTTTAATTATTTTGTTCGAAACAAAACCAAAACACAATAAACAAAGCTACAAGTGAGTTTGAAGCACCAAGCACGAAGATTAGGCGAATTTGTGTACCATACCATCACTCCCATGGTGGCTGAACGATTGCAGTGCCAGAGTCCCCTTTGGTTCATTTTTAAAAAACCTCGACGCATCTACCAACACAATGAAAACACATATGCACCTCCGAGGAAGAATAGCGCGACGTCATGACGCTACAGTGCTGCGATTTATGGCGTCATTATGACGACGTCATGATATCACGCGAAGATGTCTCTGTTTGACATAGTCGATCGGTCAAAGGCGGGTCGGTTCCGAAGGCATTGCAATCGTTTGAGCCTGTGGGCCGATCCCGGAGGCTGTGCAGAAAACTAGGTGGAGCGCGGCGCACCTGTTGTGCGCGTTTCGCTGCGTCACCCGAGTGTAAAGGCCTGACAACACAGAGAGGACAACTTTATGAGGATGCCCGAGCAGCCGCGCACCAACGAAGGAAGCTGACAGAAGAAGATGAGGGAGTGTTCTCATCAGCTTCGCTAGTCGTCCGCCTTCACCGAGTGAAGTGGTTCAAACTTTCTTTGCAACGGAGGGGAAGGAGGGGCATTTTCCCTCAAATTCACGACCGCGCTGTCTTTGCAGTGTTAACAATAGTTAAAGCGCACCCGAATTATCCCACACACAGGAACCTGTGTTCCTGGAGTCGTTCAGTTTCGAGGTCAAGAATCACTACCGCTTCATCAACGTGGGCGTCTGGAGCAAAGGCCAGATCATCAGCCTGCAGGGTGTGAAGAAGCCCCGCATTGACACCATGCTTGGATACGTGAGTCTGCCCCTATTCTTTTGCGAACAGATCGCGATCTTCAGAGTACACTGTGCGGCAACGCCCGAAAGACGATGATACAAATAGTAGTAAGCCGTCGAAAGGTTTAACGCAAGGCAGTATGCGATCATTCCCACTGCCACCACAAAACGACTAATGTGAACTGAAAAATTACATTCGTTGGCGTGTTACACTGCTTAGCACTAGACATAACGTATGCAAGACTTAAAGCGAAAATAAAAACCTTGTACCTAGGCACTTTTGATCTGATGGGAACCTTTCATTGTGCGCAAACACAGACACGCGAGATACATTCGGTTAGATATCCGAGATCAAAGCCCTTTTACAACGCCAGCAACTTTTTATGGGCGTACTACGGGTTTCCCACTCAATAATATTTTGCACACAGACCGCCATCCCCGTGTCCCACGTGCTCGAGGAGTGCCTGAAAACCACTGAAGGCTACCACGGTGAAGTCGTCAAACTCCTCTGTCCCCACTTCACTAAGGTTCCCAAGTAAGCAACCATGACCCGCTGCGTCTTTCCGTTAATTTTTAGTGCAATTATACTTAGCGAACGGATTAACCGGATATAAGTCAGTGCTGTCACATCTCAGTGTATTTCTTTCATTCAATATCAGAAACATATATAGATGACATTACGCACAATGCGCGAAGTCGTGGACAGAATTGTACTCTAAATAAGCCCAAAGAAGAACTTCAATGACACTTAGAATCCCACAACTTCCCCAAATTAAAGGGAAAAAAAGAATGTCCTTGATCTTCGTTTTCTGTCAGAATTAGCAACTAAGTAACCTTAAATAACTGTTAAAAGAAGGAGATGCTAATCAAATCTAGTTTAGTAGTCTTAGTGTATCTTAAATCGGCAATAATATCAATAACACAGCGATTGCACAGAGATTGCGCAGCAGTGTTTGCTTCAACAAGCGCTTAGACCAAGCGCTAGGGTACCCATTTCAAACTTTGTTATAATAAATATTTCGTCGGCCCCTACAAAGTTTACGAGCTTCCATACAGGTAAGTTTCGCGCACTGCGCAGGGATTTTCACAAGTACGCGACCCTGTCGGGATTCGACCCGCGTCACTGCTACGGCGACATCACGCTTCGATTCCTGTTCAAGGGCGAGTACAAGGTCAAGGGCGCCCAGCTCAGCTTCGAGCGCAAGGAGCACAAGGAGGATGAGCTTGCCGGACCCGTCGTCTCTGCCGTGGACGAAATGCGGTGAGCAACAGGATAATGCATGAAACTTAATGAGTTTAATTATTGCGTAACAAGCAATTGCTAGATGCAGAAAGTTGGTAGATTTGCAGTCTCGTTCACAGTAACATTTTAGGCACAACGCGAAAAATAACTGTGATAGTTTTTGCCGTTGGAGTCGCCATGATGTTCCGTATAAATTGCAGCGGTGATAACATAGCCCCACGCGTCATATGTTTTAGCGAAAGCGTGTGAGGTCACTGATGATCTCCGCTTAAGCGGAGACGAAACGTGCCCACCGTCACACGTCTCACGGAGGCTCATTGGGGGGAGGCGTGGGGGAGTTGGGGGTTGCCGGAGCCGAGAGATTCCGGCTGCGTGGCTCTGGTAACTGCGTTCTTTAGGTGAGCAGGCGTTGTCGAGCACCTTATTTTGACAGTGATCAGCAGACAGATCATACCTGCGTACGTGCTCGATTCCCACTACTTAGTTGCGACGTACAATAATAAAGTCGCTTTGTGTTACGCCAGCGTTTTGTTGAGTTACGATGAGTGAGAGGCTAAGCGAATGGAACTGATAGCCTTACTTCTTCCACTTTGTTTCTGAACTCAGAAATTGCTACACGTTTGCTATCTGTGACTTCCTTCAAATACACCTGAAATTTGATGCATTAGTTTATGTACTTATCAAATTCGACGCTCCCATAAGGAAACACATTCTTCCAAGTGCTTTAAAACTGCCCACTGACAACATCCATATCCTTTCGTCTGCGAGCAGCCCCTCGAGTCCACCCTGCTCGAAGTCCTTGCATCACGATTTCGAGGAAGTCATACTTAAGAAGGCAACGACTTGCAAGTTCTGCAATACCAGGGTACGTGCCTTCCATGTTACGTAGACACTGTCCACCAGGTGCTGCAGTCGCGAAAATTTTCACTCGCCACTGACGGCGCACCAGCACCGTCTCTCCAGCGGGTACTGTACAGAGGCGTTGGTACAGTCGTGCACAATTCGAGTACGGGGAAACTGGAGCTAACCAATGCGCACTCTTTCTTGTTTGTTTTCCTTAGCTGGCGCGATAGCATAATTTCTGCTAATTGCACGCTCATTGTGAGGCATAAGCTTTCTCTGGAAACAACGCAATCAACGGTGCGAGACGGTATTTTCTCGAGTTACCGCATGGAAAAGCTGTTCGGTGGTGCGATTGCTTGTTTGCTTTCGATTTTTTCATGACTGTGCAAGCAGCCTCTACAGCAAAATTTCAGAGTAGGAGAAAATTAAACCGCACAAAACAATGGTTGAGAGATGGTCCTACCACATCCTAAAGGCCTTTTTAAAAAGGCGATTTAAGAAGCGTGTCGTGTTCTTTTTCGTCAGCCTTATGCCAGTTCACGTCACGTTTATACTCGCGCCTATATACTATTTCAACGCGCCTACATCACCTCGGCATTTATTGAACACAGTCGTAAGTCATGAAGGCGGTGACGCCTTGACGTGCCCCGCAAACTCTTCACGAAAAGTTCTTGATAAAAAAACTCACCAGTTTCTCTTATGCATTCACTTAGAAAGCCTTCAAAATCGAAGGCACCTCACCTAGTTTTGCAATGCCTCCGTAATCAGATCACCTTCGACCAAACTATCATGACATGTGATGGGGTAATGATGTGTCATCATTGTGACGTCACGTGTTTTGGCATTAGTGACATCATGATGACGTTATCTCGTCATGATTTCGTGTTCAATGAGGCATCGAAGGCGCCTTTAAATACCTCGTGTAAGTGGCGTCTTTTCAAATATTTTACTTGAATAAAAAGAAGACGCCGATCACGACAGAAAAAGAACTGCATTATGACGTTTCGGCATCCAGAACAGGAGCCTTGTTCAAATTGTGAACAAGGCTGCCGTTCTGGGTGCCCATACGTCATATTACATTTTGTGTGTATGTGTTATGGTTGGCGTCTTCGTCTTTTTATTTAATGATTCTTCTCGTCCAGAGGGGCCTTCGTGGAAGCCATGATACAACAATTTCCTTTTGGATTGCGACAACTGATATTTGATCAACCGCTCCTGACATTTCTACACAAAACTGACCTCATTCTTTTTATTTAACTTATGCCGTAGGGCATACTTGCACCAATAAAAAAAACTGGTATTCCCTGTAAGTCCGAGTGATGCGTTTCCGTTTCTCAGATTGATCTGCACAAACACGCCCGAACTCGATTTCCAGGGAACCATCAAAAGGCAACTTTAGAGCACCATTTACGTTACAAGTTGGCGTTCGAAAGCGTTCGCACCAGCAAAATTAAAAAAAAATCTCTTGGTACGCTAACACACTCATGAATCGGCTGCCTCAGACTCAGATCGGGTCGTGATTCTGAGTTCGACTTGTTGAGAAAATTTCGGTGAGTGAGTCCAAGCAAGTCTGGTTGAAAAAAAAAGTCAGTGAATTGGAATGAGCCTTAGGCGTAAAATAAATTTTTATAGTGAGTCCTAGTGAGCTAAGCTTTTCTCGCCGACCTACGGCCATATAGGTCATCAATGTTTTAACAAACCAAGCCCTGGTTGCACCTCTGTTGCTTGAGCGTTCTTCTTGGCGTTAGTCTAGTTGCAATCATAAAGCTTAGCCAGTCCAGTCCAGTCCGGACTAGACTAGACTAGACTAGTCTATCTTACACTAGTCCAGTACAATCCAGTCGTTTGATTGATTGACTGATTGATTGATTGATTGATTGATTGATTGATTGATTGATTGATTGATTGATTGATTGATTGATTGATTGATTGATTGATTGATTGTAATTCCTGTGGGGCGCAAATATTGTGCTGACATATAGAGTATATGCTGATTCCGAAACGTCACAATCTCGTCGTGTAACCATCGCGATGATTCAAGTTCTTCACTTCAAGTTCTTTCTATAGACACTCCATACTCGATTTCTGTATGGCTTGCAGAACCCGATGCACGACGGCTGTGCTCAAAAGCAACGCACTTTGCAGTGACGGCTAATTGCTCTTTTCGCTCTTTTTTTTTTCTTCGTGACCTTATACGTCATCAGATCTGGCTCAACAGGGGCATGCGTTGCAAAATCTGCCGGATGATCATCCACAACAAGTGCCTCGAAAAGACCACGCAGATGACCTTATGCAAGCAGTAAGTGGAGCACACGAAAGACTTGTGTTTTCCTTGCATTCAGCAATGCAAGTATGCAGCGTCTCTGTCAAAGTTTTACATTGAATCTGTAACGAAATTCTTCAATCTTTTATTCCCCCCCGATTCCATCATACTGAGAACCTCTTTAAAACTTCAGGAAAATGTGGCCCGAGGAAGACGCAGAGCCTGCAGCAGGTGAGTGACATTCTTCGCAACGACTTTAACCCGATAGCGTTAAAGAGCTCGTTTCGCAGAAGTTCCGGTGTTGGTGTCGGTCTCCGTGTCGGTGTCATTGGTTGAGAGCGAAAAATCATCTGGTCTGTGATCGCAAAATCGAGAAAGATACAAATGAAAAAATGATCCAAACGTTGTGCGAGCGAGCACCGAAGCCGGGCCCGTCTACGAGGAAAACGGTGACAACAGATACACGCTGTTCCCTAAAACTGCGTACCAAAAAAAGAAACGGATGCCATGTGGGGGAAAGAGTCTTCTTAACGCACGTAATAATACTGCGTGCCGGAAACGGTAGAATTGTGCCAGGCGTCAAAACATGTGAATTGTGCAACGAGTGCGTGTTTTAAAAGCCGACCCATCACAAAGCGCCGAGACGTATCTAACCATCATCATCAGCAAAAAAACAACAACAAAGTTAACAGCTGCGTATAGGCCCCTTCATTGATTCTCTAAAATAGTACTTACATTGTGGGCAATTAACTGAGCTTAAATCGGGCATTCTAGCATGAACTTTGAAACGGTCAATGTTTCCTGCATGGTCGTTAGTTTCCTTACGGCAGGGTTGATGCATGCACTGAGAACCGAAACCAAGCTATAGCTATTGAGAAGACGATGTGTGCGAGTTCCGATTACGCTACCGTATTTTACTTTTGAAAACGAAACTCAAGCGTATACTGAAACGTTCCGTATGCGAGTCTAATAATTCCATATGTTTCCGTACAGAATACATATGTTCCCATATATTTTCCATATATTTTTCATATATTTCCGTAAGATTCTTACGGAAACATACGAAATCATCGGACATCGCATATACGGAACGTTTCAGTAGGAAGTATATTTCTTTTGTTGTTGCCGTTGTTTATTCAGTAAACGTTGCACATGCACAAAATTCTTTTACTCGCAATTCCAGGCGTCCCTGAAAGCACATCGAAGGTGAGTGAACGCTCGTGCGTTAAGACTACTTTGTTTTATTTTCCTGAGCTTTTCCTTGAGCACTCTGTACATGATCTTCGTACCTACATGATTGTAGACCAAACTCTCTTGCTCTGGAACCCGCATGTTTAGAGCATACATATGTGCAGTAGCTCACCGTAAACGGAAATTTCTTTATCGGAATATCTTCTAAAATAGAACTGCCACCTCTATAATGTGATTGATTTGCTATATACTAGAACTCTAGGTCTTGTTTGATTCGCGTGGTTCGCACATATAGTCGCACTCAGTTCAGTGCGCATTTCGTCGGTCACTTTCAGCCTTATTACTACTAATCCAGTATGTTCAGTGCATAGAGAATATTTGTATTTAGTATTCACTTTGTAGAACTTACCTGTTTGTTTATTCACGAAGTCACGCTCTGTGCTGTTTAAATTATGGTGTATGACCCCCCTCACACAATGTTCCAAATTGGAACCTAAGATGTACTGGAAATATATAATTAATTAATTAATTAATTAATTAATTAATTAATCTCTACTTCAGTTAATCTCTCTGTAAACAAAACTTCCGTTAGGTAGAACATATTTTTTCTGGCCCCTTATTTAAGGTTACATTTTACGCGAGTCTCATATACACAATCGTCCGCCTCCGTGTTACTCTGCTGCTGACCCAAAGGTTGCGGGTTCGATCCTGGCCGGCAGCGGCGAGCGCATGTCGATGTGGGCGAAATGCTAGAGTACCACGCACTGTGTGACGTCGGTGCACGTCAAAGAGCCCCAAATGGTCAAAATTTCCGGAGCTTTCTACGAATTTCTGCATCTTAACACGGAAAATTCCAGATATTATTTTTTCTCAATCTTGGCTGCTTTAATCACCAATCGGTGCAGCCAACACAGGGGCTGTGTGTTTGGTAACGTCACAGCTGATGACTAATGACCACAGGCGGTAAAGACCGTGGCCGGTAAAGACTGGCTGCCGCACGTCATCGTGGTCCTCCGTTCGGCCTGAACCGCAGTGGCCGTTCAAAGATCGCTGCTCCAAGCAGCGCATATTCTGTGTGTCAGCTCGCGTGACCAGGCGATTCACATGCTCGCTGCGCCATGCACACGCAGGAGGAACAGGAGATGCGAATGCTGGCGAACCAAGTCAAGGCCGCAATGCCAGCCCAGCCGGACAGCGCCAAGGAAAAGACACAGGCGGAGCAGCCTGCGCCAACGGTGAGCATACAGATTGCATAGAGGCCACAACGCCGTTCCTGCTGTACGCGGACAGCGAGAAAGTACCGAGGGCAGTAGACTAGTTTTCACATTGTCCGGCGTAGTATGCATTACTATAGGCACCGACGTTGGTGGGAATTGAAGTCACTGATTGCCTCTGATAATCATGTTAAAATTAACGTATCATCAGATATACGGGGTTTGTCCAGGAAATAGTCAAATTGATTTTTTTTTTCGACTAAACGTGGCAAAGGAGGAGGATGTTTCTGCACTGGTTTGATGGCGGGGAATCTTAGCTACCTGTAGACCAGTCGTCAGTGTTCTGCAAGCCTTCATGGAGCGTATACGTACATCGAGTTAAAGGTGAACCTCTTTCAAGGTGCCTTGTCCTCTCCGTAATCAACCGCTTGTTAGAGCAACGTTACAGCTGTTTCCCTTCAAACTGGGTAAAACTGCGCGTGAGACAAGACTGCTTGTGGGAGAGATGCACTCGATGTATCAAATGTTTTCGAGTCACCCAAGTTGTTTCGGAACAGAAGAGAGAAAGTTGAAGATGACAAACGGCCGTGACGAGCGTCAACGTCTAAATGTGGCGAAACTTAAACGAAAGTTTGAAATCTCTTGAACTCTGACCGCTGATTTTGTGAGCGGATAATATCAAAACAATTAAACTTGGCAGAAACTGTTGCGCGCGACAATGCGGTAAGAACCTTGGGTTTGCGAATCGTTTGTGCGAAATCGCTGGCTCATAGAGGCTCCATCAGGCCACGCCACACCGCCTTTGCTGTCACGAACTTCCTGGCCAAACACAGTCTTACACTGCTTACCCAGCCACCCTACAGGTTAAACATCTTTCTCTTCCCCCGATTCAAATGGCCATAAAAGGCAATGCATGAGGCCGTAACGAGGGTGTACAAGGAGCTTCGGCGATTTGCAGAGCCACAGAAAACGCTGTATTGGTGCAGAAGGGTCATATCTTGAACACTAAGAAGTTAATCTGCCACAGTTTATATATAAATATATATATATATATATATATATATATATATATATATATATATATATATATATATATATATATATATATATATATATATATATATATATATATATATATATTAAAATCTCGTCCTGCTACTTCCCAGACAGCCCCTGTACAACTTGAAATATGTCAATAGGTGCGAGCAACTAAATTTCTGGTTAAGAAACGTATATCCTCAACGAGTCAATAAAACTGTGCAAAGTATGCTCGCGTGCAAATTTCGTAGAAAGCTGCAATAAATACTTAATGACCATCTCATGAACAACGAAAAAGTCAGGACTTTGCCGCATTTCAATGATGTCATGCGAAGAAACAGCCAAAATCAGGAGAAGGCGCTAAGTCCCCCATTTGAGAATCATGCAATGATGTATAAAAAAGTTCACGTACGCCACCAGCTTCTGGTCGTAACAGACGAAGATCTGCATTTGGATGAAGTAGAAGCAGAGTAGTACATAAAAAAACATATGCGCTAATGTATTTCATTATAATTAATTGCGGACGACCAACAAAATAGGCCACTGTGCACAAACATTAGACAGAATTGCTTTTGTGAGAATTAACGCGCGTAGGCTTCATACGAAGTGTACTATCCTTAAATTAATTGATGCTCTAGTCAACGTTTAGCCTAAACTACAGTTTAATATGCAGGTAAGTCTCATTAGTACATCACTGTAGATTATTTGTTCAATTTATTGTGTCATTAATGTTTTCTTTATGCAGACTCAAAAACTGTTTCTCTCACTCCGTTTGTTGCGTACATGCTTCGCATTATAGGCCAGGCTAGGTTAGGTGCTCGTCGTACTTCCTTACTACGCTCACCTAACGCGTTCGCGCACGCACTTGCGTTTCCCAGTACGACGAGGACTTCTTCAAGCAGCTCGAGATGACGGACAACGCCAGCCGGCTGGACGATGTGCTGAGTAACCTGACGCAGCGCGGGTTCGGCATACAGGTCTTCTCCAAGGCTGTCACCTCGGCAAAACACATTCACCGCGACCTGGAACCTCATGCGCGCCTGGAGCGCGTCAGAAACGTCGTAAGAAACGGCATTTTTTGTGCCCTATTGTGGCACATGGGTCATTTGGTTCATGCATATACCCGAGATCTGTGGCGACATTTCGATTCGACGCGGCCTATCGCGCCATCAGTACCACTCTAATCGGTTCGACATTGTAACAACTTTCAGCGAAAGTCACACGTTCCCCCAATTGTCTTTGCCTAAGGCCACTGGAAGGCGAAAAAAATCTTCGTTTTGAGATTGTGTTGATTCGCCGCATCACCCGAGAGCTTACCGCGCGCAACGTGTCCTCCGGCATCGAAGAAATTGTAAAGTTTCGGCACCCCGCGTAATTTTGCAGTGCTCTCTTTTGACCAAGCACATACGTCTTGTGATGACGACACCAACTGACCTCATGATTAAGTCCCAAATTTAGGCTACTTGCAACAACATGGTGATATCGTGTGGTGACGGAACCACACGATAAACTCGCCGATCAGTTTACTGTTCGTTGTCTTCAAGCTATTTACAAAATAAACGCTAATAGAAGTAAGGTGGCATTCGAGTTCAATCAACGATGGACCAATCAGAATTTCATACAGGCTATTGAAAAACAGACCATATTCATACTATCAATCAGGTGATAGAGAAATGCGTGGAATACAGCAAGCTCCTATACACATAGCCTTCATAGATCAGGAGGAGGCGTTTGATTCGGTCGAGATATCGGCAGTCGTGCAGGCACTGCGGAATCGGGGCATCGACGAAGCCTATTTGCAGTGGATCCACAGTCGCCATAGTCCTTCATAAAGAAAGCGACAGAATGAAGTTATAGTTAATTGTACTGCTGCAGAAGCATTGAAGTAATTGCGATATATACGTGACGAAGGTAGAGTGCACAAAGAGACAACTTGCTGCCGGCAGGGACAAACCTGCAGCTTTTTTCTTTCCGTGTCCAGTTTTCCACGCGCAAAGTCTCAAGCTCACCCAGAAACTGCAACCTGCGGATCACTTGCCTGATAAGCTGCGCCGGCTGTCGTATCTTCGTCCACTTTATCGGGTGTCTACGTGCATGCAATCCTGGATGCGTTGGTCATCGCCGTTCGTAGCCATGATGGCGTGTGTAGAACACTCTTTGCCAGGTGGCGTCACGTAGCAAGTGATCCTTTTACCGAGGGTACAGCCGACCAGTAAGCCCTACCCTCCTTTCCATAAGTCACTATTCTCCTAAGTCACTCGCATTGATCCTCCCCCCCCGTCAGAGCTAGCACGCTCGCAAGGCTGATATGTAGGCTGGTAAACAACTTTATTGATTATCAGAAGAATCACGTGTGGTGCATACACTCCGTTTGGTTTCGCGTGTCGCGGTGTAAAGGCTGCCGGCGTTTCGCTTGATTCGCCACGCCTGCTATAGTGACGTGGTCAGTACTCATAAGCAGGAAGTTTTCCATGCCAATACATAGCCCTGTCTAAACGGTGCCAATAAAAGTGGGCTAGTTTTACGACTTTCTTGTCTACGGAATTGCGCAGTAAAGCGGCAAACTGAGATTCAATATCCGCAGTGACACAGTGCTTGATAAAGATGGCATTTTTTTTTAACGAGCAAGTGTTTCATGTCGAGGTCCATCACGGCTCCGTGGCGTATTTCCATCACGGATATGGCATTGTAAAATGTTTACAAACAGATTACAAAAAAATAACGAGAAGTAAAAATTCCGCAGTGGGGCGTTGAACCAGGTACCTCGCGCTTATCTCGGGATTGGGGCGCTCTGTGCCTCTTGTACTTCCACCGCAAGCTTGCTTTGAAATTACAGTAGGTAAAGAGAGCGCGAGCGTCACTTCGCTCGCTGCCACGGCCGCGTTTACGAAAGGAGTGCGCTGCTCATTCACGAAAAAGTAGAATTGTGACCGTTGTATGCGCTCACCTAGGTGTACACTTGTGTGCTCGTTTCGTACGTCTTTCTTTAGTTTGAGCAGCATGCTTTAAGTGTCGAACTGCGACAGCTACCTATCCACGTTCGTCCTCTGTATGCTCCTTTCGTGCGTGCTTTCTACATGAGGTGTGCGCTGCAAGTTTCTAGCTGCTTGCCGTTCTTCGCGTGACATTGCAATTTGTTACGGCAGCATTCATTTCTCCGCTCTTGTTGTGAAACAATGCACAACGAATGATCAACTGCCTCTGCGAAGACACGTTTTACTTTCGTGTTATACCGATTCCTGAAAAGGGGAATCAACGACGTTTTCTTTATGCAACACTATAGCCCTTCCATATCTGATTGCAATGTTCATGGTTTATTGTGCTTTCTTGATCGACACCTCCCGAGTTGAGTTAGCCTTCGTTGCCTTGTCGTTGGAGGTCGCATACGTTTATGGGCAAAATACTCAAAACATGCGGGCGGACGACACACGTTGGTTCAAATCTAACCCCACTATATCTTGTATTTTCTTATTCCGTTGATCCTTTCCCTGTACCCGACGTGGTAGTGCAGAGGTCATGGTGCTTGAATGCTGACCCGAAGGTCACGGTATCGAAATCTCCCGGCCGCAGCATGGTCACATTTTGATGGAGGCAGAACGCTACGGCCCCGTGCACTAAGATTTAGGTGCATGTTAAAGAACGTCAGGTGGTCAAAGTTTCCGAAGCCTACCACTACGACATGCCTAATAATTTTATCGTGGCTTTGGAACGTAGATAACCTAACATTTCTTTTTTTTACTCCTTCCCTTGCAAGGCTGAGTTCAGATTGCCTTCTCGGGATGCGAAAAACAGCGCAATATCTCTTTTTGGGGTTTTACAGTCATTCATAATACCTTGAGATTCTGGCCCTACATTATCTCTCGTTGAACCAAACCTCTCTTCGGGCAGCCTTTGTGATACTGGCCATCTACATTTTGTGTTGCATTACTATATGGACCGTACCAGCAGCTTAACGATGGCATGCTTTCTTTTTTTTTTTTTACCTCGCCTATATACGCAGTACCAGCGGGTGAAGATCACCTTTGAAGCGGAGCGCAAGCGCAGAGACAAACTCGAGTCGCAGATCGCGAGCGCCCCAGATGAGGCAACGCGCCAGGAGCTGAGGCCCGCGTTCGAACAGTGCGAGCAGAGGCTCAAGGGTCTCAACCTGGTGCTCCTCTACTACGCCTCGGGCCTGAAATACATCTACGAGGACCGTGAACGGGCCTCGGATCACTGCGAGGCACAGGCCCATTAATATGCAAGCTATTCGCATTCCACAGCAGTCGAATATATTATATACTCGTGCCCTTTGTATACGCGCATGTAAAATCAAGTCGTGGCCAAGCAAAGCTTGAAGATGTAGTCGCATGGCGCCACGTGGAATCGGAAATTGCGCCAGCATAACAATCGTATTACATGTTCTACATTGTATATGTGTGAGGGCATGAAGCTGAGCTAGTTAATTCTCAAATCAGAACTTCCGAGTTGTTTACCGATTTGAAGGATAACCTGTAAATCGTATCTACAACACTGGTAGTTGACCCTTCACTTTTCTATCACTACATGTCTTCACTCCACGGGCCTGCATGAAAAAATGTTGAGAATAATAACTGCTAACTTGTAGCAGCCAAGAACATATATACCGCTGTGAACCAAAAATATATTCATCTTCGACTGCACAAAAAGAGCTTTAATGCATTAGTTCTCTCATAAACGGCGGGAAATTTTCGTTCGTGTATTCGATTGCTCAAGCCTGTTGTGAGAAGACCTTGGGAGAATACCACACGATGTATTAAATGTCAACGCAGCGTGCATCCTATACGTTAAGGCAGTGCAAGCAATTCGTTGATAATATCCTCGATCAGACAGTTGCGAATCCCGGGCATCTCAAATGAAACATTATTGTCTGAAAGCCAGCGCTGATAAGTATTGCTATGTAAATGCACTCTTTCTTTTGTCTCAGTTCATAACACGTTCCGCAATAAGCAAAAGAACACAAAAAATAGTAAACACCTTCGCCTTTGTACAGGCAGTCAGTCAGGCTAACGTCTCCAAGAAGATGTATTATTAATGTTTCATTGCGTGCACAGATATCTCTCAAGAATAACGACCCGAGGAAAGCGCCAACCACTCGAAAGATCTTACACTTGCTCAATACATCGGGTCGCATATTGAAGCCGCATTTTTCGGGCACGGTGCCTGCCTATGGCACAGGAAACGGAGTTCTTTATCGGCAGTTATCAGGCGATAAAGCTGAAATTCCAAGTGTCAACCTCATGCTACCGGCGAGACGGTGGCCCACCTTCGCTAATCTTGAAGGGAGAAAGTGTATCAGTCGATTGCGGGAAGCCGAGCACTTCGACAAACACGAGTGTGTATACGCTCGGAGACGCGGACTCGTGCTACACACTGACCGCGTAACCGCACCGTTTCTTCGCTGCTCGTGTTGGGCTAGCGATGCGACCTTTAAGAATATCGACGCGCTGTCGTGCTGGTGGAAACACGTACTATGCAGATCGAAGCCATGACATTCGTTCTTGACAAAAAGGCGTCATAAAAAAATGCCCGCACACGCACTGCGTATGTATCAGAGGCCTCATACATGCTGGCCGTTTGCGCCACTGTTCGTGTATGACTGTCTTCGTACCATACGTGACTGACCTCCAGCATGCTAACATCGAAGCTGTTCTTAGTCGCGGCTTTCACTCCTTCCCACCTTGTTTAGGAACTTCAAGCCACTTCGTTCCCGTTCCCCTCAACCCCACTGCGCGTCACAAGCTCCTCTCTTGCAAGCAGTGCCCGCCAAGCGGAGCTGGTTGAATTTTTTCGTTCTTCATGACGAACCCTATTCAGTTGGCAAAGTCCCCTTCAAGAATGACCCATTTGTGAGACGTGGTAGAGACCTGCTGTCATTTGGTTCGAACGCGCCCCCGCATCCCGCCATCTCCCTATCGGAAACAGGCAACTATGATCAGCCTGAACCAGAACGCGCTCTTTTCATCTTCTTTGTCATCTACTTCGCTCCCACGACACGTGCGCTGATTTCTCCAACGCAGGATGCAATAGCTCTGATCGACATGACAGTGATAAAAAACTGAGAGAAAGCTGCGCTCTTACGCAGCCCCGCGATCTTAGGGATCAAACCCTGGCCGTCCAGAGTGCCCGTCAACGGGCCGCCTAGCTCGGCTTGACGGTCCCTACGTGTGATTAGCCGGGTGGCGCGGGGTCTACCCTGCGTCTTTTCAGGACCAAAATAAAGTTTTAATCAATAAATCAATCAAAGTAAGAGATAACAAAGACAGACAAGGAGAAATCATAGGGAGGAATAGAATGGGGAAACGTTTAATAAAGAGAAAAAACAAACAGGAACAAAGGTTAGAAGCTGGTGGGTGTGGCCCCTAATACAGATCGCCACTGTCGTCAGCAGCCCGCCGCGCCTGGTTCAGGAGCGCCACTTGGGCCTGCTTTTCCTCGCGAGCAAGGTCTCTCGCTGCTGAGATTCGTGACGGAATCTCAGGTGCGTTAATTTTGTGTGGCCTTAATTTACATTCCTATGTAATGTGAGCAAGGGTTGACTGTCCTCCACACCACGGGCAAGAACTGGCGTATGCGGTTGGGTAGAAGGCATGTTCTAAACACAAGCGCAGATATGCATTTGTCCATAGGTGGCGCCACTCATGCGCTTCTTTTACACTTGGCCGAGAGTGGGACGGACAAAATTTCTTCGCGAGACGATATTACACCTTCCGTACGCAATCCGACGGCGACCGTCTTACCGTATGACTAATCAGGCACGCTGGCATAGCATAGCATTGCATTTATAGTACTGTATGGCAAGGAGTTGGGTAGGGGAGTAAAGGTGAGGGCAGTTGTGAGGGTGACGTGGAGGGAAAGAAGGAGCTGAGCGATCAAAACGCCGAATATAAAGAAATGCAGAAAGAGAAATAAATAGAGCAGAGAAGGAGATGGAAGCGAGATAGAGACATCAATAAAAAAGTAAGATAAAAAACGACCGGCTAAGAGAAAAAAACAGATAAAACAACTAGAAATTACAAAAACCAGAGCAGCTTGCACAAGGTCACGCAAGACTGCGTCACACCATAGCTGGTGGACACCTCGCTTTGCCATAGCTCAGCTCAGTTTTAGCGTAAAGTACCATAGCCCAGAGGACGTCCCTCAATTGGATGACTATGGCTATACTTTCACTCTCCTAGCTGTCTACTTTCCACTCCTTGCTATACTACGCTTGTTCTCAACTTTACCTTTAAGTATGTGTATTTCTATAACTTTCTCTATTTGTTTCTTATTCTTTTTACCTTTAAAGGGGCCCTGCAACACTTTTTGAGCATGGTCAGAAAGCGCGGCCGATCGGTAGTAGAGGCTCCCGAAAACACGCGAGCCAAATATTATAGCGCAGCACGCGGCCAGGAATTCACAAAAAATTATCAGTCAGCTAAAAATTGCTTTTTTTTTTCTCTCGACAAATCGCGGAATAAGCCTAAAAATTATGCGTAGTAAGCCCATCTATCAGCAATTGGCTGATTTGAACATGGCGCGCTCGCTCGTTACAGATATTGCCGCGGGAGGCCACGACTTGTCCACGCCTGCGCGCACGACCACACTGAGAAAGCCGCGCGTTCGAAGAAAAAAAAAAGAAAGAGTGCGCACGGTCACGAGGCGCACGTGACGTTTTTCTTTGCGCCTGCCATCCCTCCCTGCTCAGCTTCCAACGCTTTCATTAGGACGAGAGAAGAGAGAATGCGATCGCAGCATGCGACTAATCTTGGTAACTCCACTCGCACTGGACGGATTTTAAAATTTTTTGCGCCGTTTAATTCGAGAGGCAATAAACTCCTCCAGGGAGTGCATTCCATGGTTACTTGGAAAAGTGTTTCAGGGCCCCATTACAAGCGAATCGTCTCATGGTCGAGCTCAATCAGGTGTGCGGCGTGACCGCCCTTACAGCGCATGCGCCTTCCTTTCCCTGTCTCCTCTCCTGCGTCCCCCCCCCCCTCGCCTCGCAACCCCGATGCAGGCAGCGTAGGCTACGCTCACTCAGAGGATTTCAAGCTGGACGGTCGTGCCCTCGTGATCTCCGACAACAGCGTAGCTCCCGCCGACTGGTTCGCCCTCCGCGGTTTCCTGCCACCGTGCAGCTCTCGCATTGTGGTGCCCCGCCCTTGGACTGCTTCGACCGGATCCCCACTTTCCTATCTCCTTCTGTTTTCCGTCGCTTGCCTCTCTATTTCTTCATCTATTTCCTTCTATTCTTTTTATCCCTCATCCCCCCACCCCACCCCTATAAGGCACTGCGCCGTGTCGCCGCTCAGGCAGACAGAAATCAGGTGCCTTTTTCCTCTCCCTTACAACCACAACCACCACCACTCCCCCTTCTTTCTTCTCGAGGAATCTCTCCCAGCAACGTTTACAACCCCATTGCGCATGTGCGTCCCCTCCCCCTCTGTCCTCTACTACCCTCCCGCTTTCTCTAGTACCGCAACGCCAACGCAGTCGGTGTCTACTAGCAAATTTCGTGATTGCAAGAACCGACTGCTCACGCTGTAGAGCCGTTCACTGGCCACCCCGTATATACAGGCACTCGATCTCAGGTAGTGTCGGTGGGAAGTTTCTCCTGTGCGTTTTGGAACAATAAAAAGTCGCAGTGTGCGCTTTCACTAAAAGCGGACTGCGGGTCTTCGTATCTAATAGGAGTCTTCCATCTCCCATTGCCCATAAGCAGCGATTGGAACGGTCTAGTAGGAAAAGGAAACACCGGTCCATCACTGCGTGCTTTCTGCCTCCCCAGGCTTCTATCCTGCACAACGCCGCGATGTGCGACAGCGTCAACACCGCCAGTGTAAGCGTTCGCTCCCACTGCTTCGCATCTACGCATGGTTTCCTTTACCGGGAGATGGTGTTATTTTTTCTTCGTTTTTCTCTTTCTCTCTTTTCCTCTCCTACTATCTGTCTGGTCATTTCATCGGTTTTTATCTTTTTAACTGCTCGACCATAACAGCTCTGCTGAGAATGTGCCAAAAAACTTGGGCAAATTCTAGTACTAACCACACTGGCCCAGTAAACATTAACGAGGGAACACACAGGCGACAAATGCCGATTTCGGACCGCACCTGAAAAAAGTTCTTGAAGACACAGGTAAATCTCGACGACAGAAGCTTTGCTGTAAAAGACACACAAAAACAAAAAGGGAAAGAACTAGAACAAACCAATAAAGAGAAAATTTGCAAAACTGAGCAACACGGTAATATCCAACAATACTAAGTTGTCCATTAGCTTCGCTGTATCTTTCGCCTTGCGCCTCCAGTAAACCTAAGCTACGCTAATGTTTTGTTAGTATCCCAGCCCATCGGGGGATTGGTACTTTGTGACTGCATGCGGCCCTCAAGCCGAGGTGATATTGATGCTCCTGCCGACAAGCAAAGTTGAAATGTGCAGCCCCGGTATTTATCCCTGGGTGAATACTAACTGACGGTTTATTTACCACCTCAACTATGTGCTACGACCGTACAGAAATCTCAAATGCTGCTTACCACCCCTGTGCCCTCAAATTTAATAGACCAGTGGCGAGTAGTGGGGCTTCCCGAATTGTTGTGGCACTTGCGCTAGGAAGAACGAATTTTGGTATCGCCTTTCAAAAGGCTGGAGTAGTACCTGTCTGTCACCTTAACGCTTAATTTAACTTAATGTATTAAGAACTTTTAACTACCCGGTTCTCAGCCAATCCCTCAGCGTGGGGGTGTGCCACTGTTCAAGGTTCTGCACTATACATATGGACCTTTTCTATGGATGCCCCGCTACGGTGGTCTAGTGGCTAAGGTACTCGGCTGCTGACCCGCAGGTCGCGGCATCAAACCCCGGCTGCGGCGGCTGTATTTTCGATGGAGGCGGAAATGTTGTAGGCCCGTCTATTCAGATTTGGGTGCACGTTAAAGAACCCCAGGTGGTCAAAATTTACGGAGCCCCCACGATGACGCCTCTCGTATTCACATCGTGGTTTTGGGACGTAAAACCCGATATATTTCTATTTTAAGTATTTGCATGTTAGCTTTACACTGCTGTTTTGCTCATCGCTTTGGGGTTTCGAATCACGAAGACAGAAGCGCTGAAGGCAGAGCAAAAGTCGACCACAATATTTCTTTGTGCATACAGGCTTAACTGGTTCATCAGACACGTTAACGGCACCAAGACGACAAGACAAACGAGAAAGATAAGGACATGATTTGCTTGTGAATAAGGGTCCGTGACCTCCACGACAAACACACTTGACAAGAGGGCACTAGCTGCCGAAAAAAGAATTACGAACGGTATCCCCTTTATCAGCGAGATCACGAGGACGATATCACAACCTAAACCAGAGATAACAGTATGCAAAAACAAGTGTCCTTAATCGGGCGGCGTACCCCATCGCGAGCTAACCTCCTGCGATATACCAACGCAAGGCCCAATGTTAGCTATCAAAGCACGATGGAATTTATTTTTTGTTTTTTTTTTTCAAATCTGACATTACAAGAATTCTCGACTGTTTTCGCTTTTAGTACACTTCGTCCTAATAACGCTCAGCGAAAGCCAATGCCGTACGTAAAATGGTTAAAAACATCACATGTTGATGGAGAAAATTGAAGTGACTAACGCTTTGTTTCGACTGAAGACAGTGTAACACTTCAGGAAGGAATGCACAAGATTCGTGTGAAACTAAAGTTCTGGTCATGTTTTAAACACAGATACAACAAAAAACAAAGGCGGTACTTGTTCGACCTAAAGATAAGCTTATAAACAAACATCTGAATCCTATGTACAGTGGTACTAAAATTGAGCTAGTAAATCGTACAAAAATTGCTGAGTCACATTTTTCAGACACTATGATTTGGAACGAACCAGGGGCGTAGCCAGGGGATGGCACACCGGGCACGTGCTCCTCCCTCCAAATTTTTTTGGCCATGGCATAGAGAGCGAGAAATGGCCATTTTAAGGGGTTGCCCCTCCTTAAATCAAGGTGGCGAGGCTAAAGAAAATACATCTTTTTTTTTTTGCATGTCCTCTCCCTACTATAGTCAAATACAACGTTGCTTAATACGCAAAACAAATAAATCTTCAAAATAAAAAACACCAAAAAAAAACAACCAACCCGAAATATAAATTGTCTTAATATTCTACCCAACTAGCCCCACCGCGGTGGTTTAGTGGCTAAGGCACTCGGCTACTGACCCGCAGGTCGCAAGATCGAATCCCGGCTGCGGCGGCTGCATTTCCGATGGAGGCGGAAATGTTGTAGGTCCGTGTAATCAGATTTGGGTGCACGTTAAAGAACCCCAGGTGGTCGAAATTTCCGGAGCCCTCCACTACGGCGTCTCTCATAATCACATGGCGGTTTTAGGACGTTAAACCCCACATATCAGTTAATCTTACCCTGTTAAACAAACACGTGAAAACTGGCGAGACATCGCTGCATTGTACACAAACCCGAAGACCCTTTACGTAATCCGCAAGTGCGCTTTTTGCTGCACATTTGCTTAAGTCGTGGCAGCACCTGTAGTGCTTAAGCGGAGACGCGGTCCTAATTGAACGTGGTGGGGCTTATCTGTTATGAGTGTTTATATCAAGACAGTCGACTCTACATTGTCTACGTCATTGCGTAAGCAAACCGGGCTTGAACAGGCTGTTTGCGGTAAGTGACTAGCCACCACTAGTTGTTCATATTGCAGGGCAGGAAAGCTAACATTAAAATTTTGAAAAGGGTTTGCAGCACGAAACATGCGAAACACAGTTTAAAAACTTAACAACACTTTCAGCGACATCTTATTATTATTTTATTATTACTATCATTATTATTATACTCGGGGACAACTTTCGGTGGCCATGAAGGGAAAGCTCCGGGGGCGGGAGGCTAACTGTTCTCTGTTACTGCACCAAAGTAGTCTCCGATAAACTTGTTTCGGTTTCAGTCTCGTCGTGACAGATGAGCATTTCCTGCAGTTCATTTCTTCGATTGTGTTCCTTGGTTGGCTGCGTTGAACCGCGATTACCGAGCGTGCAGGCATATTGGCGTTTCGTTCCCTATACGCTTAATTTGTCTGTGTCACTCTGTGTCGTCCAGAAATTACGTGAATATTTTCAGCGCTGCAGTTTTTAGGGCATGCACGGACATGTAAACTCATCTAGAGCTGAAAACTGACGCGTGTAGCGTGCTTACATAGCGCGGGCGCGGTACACCGAGGAACAGCTCACGCATGCTGCGGCGCGAAGTGAAATTCAGTTTGGATCGTGTTGAGTTACGCTGGCATCAACAGGCATCGGCGGCCCACTGGTTGCGCGCTCCGCGGCTCAGAAAACGTATGGCTCCCGCCGCTGCAGAACTCACGAATATTGTGCTCAATCCCAACCACTGCATCGTTTCCGTCTCCTTCATTAAAACCGTACGGGCATGCGGTCATTTCTCACGATACTGCATGGCGCCGGTTATGTACACCTCAGGATAGCAATCGTATGTTGCACTTGTTAGGTTAATTAGAACAGGAAGACGTGTAAACCCTGCACGTTTGTGAAATGTCATGCTTTCTGAACATGTACACAATTAGCGCTGGTTCTAAAGTTGAAAACTAAATGGTCACCTACCATTTCGCCAACAATAATTGGTTCGCGACATCTTAAAGCACATTTCATTAGCTAACTTTGTCCAATGCCAACATTCTGAGCCATACTCAGCATGGCGATTATACCATCCCTCTTCCCTCCACATTACAATTTAGATTTTTGTGGCAGTGGCCGGTATTCACACACACCATTACTGAACCAGCAAGGAAACCCTTTGAACACATGGGGCTACCACGGCCTTTTGCAGACAGTTTTAAATCTGGCCACGGCGAGTATTTGTCAGGAGGAATAAATAAGTGTAGTAGTAGTAGTAGTAGTAGTAGTAGTAGTAGTAGTAGTAGTAGTCATGTGTTTGCTTTGTTGCATATGCTATTCAAGTTACTGTACTGCTGATTGTTGCCACTGCTGTCTAGCACGAAGGTAGCAGCGGGCCCTTGTTAAGCTGCATGTCTCTACGAAGATAAGCTTCTACCAACAGCTGTACATCAATGTATCGCCAAAAACTGAAGAGTTATTTGTTGTAGTACGTAGCATATAGACGAGTAATGAGAGGATAATATCCTAGGGGTCATCGTCGTGATAAAAGAGCTTTTCGACAATGCACCGGAATAAGTTACCTGGTATAACACCAAATACCCCCCGAGGCTCAGACCCAGCTCGTACAGGTGCGGACCAATAAACGTTGCTATGATATTGGTTTTACTGCCAATTTTACACAGTTACAGCTATGATTACTGAGCAAGATGACGATCACGCATGTAGTTTCGTGTTAGCTGAGCCCTTATAAAGTGCTCGGCTCCAAGGCGATGCTCGTTTTCGGTTTGTTTGAATACATGCTATGAGCGAAAGAAAATAATAGGTCTCGACCTTCATTCAATACCGAAACGTCGTTGTTATGAATCGAGGTCGCACATTCACCATTTCGACGCCACGACATTTGCTGCTCTCGGCACGAGGGCCGGGTGTACTTCGTTTGAGAGGTATAGAAATCGACAGTATATACTACGCGCATCTGACAGCACCGTACAGTAAATTTTCGCAGATAGTCCGAACCGAGAGCTTGAGCAGATAAATGTGCTAACTTGGATCGTAGATAGCAAACTCAACATTCGCAAATATGTCCACGCAAGTATACTGCCAGCGTAAAAGGAGCATATCGGCGCGTCATTCGGGAGTGCAAAATAAGAGGCATTCGATTGCAAAATAATATACTGGTAAACATGTGAAATACACCGCTAGTATGTTTATTGTAGTGCGTGAAGGTCTACACTACAAGGGAAACACTAATACACAACAGAATAATCAGTTCAAACAGGAGTTCATATACACCGCTGGACAAGTCGTTATAGGTATAATACCCGAAAGGTAACCGAAAGATAGCGCTTTAACACATCATGACGTAGCAACACGAACACACAGTTAACAAATGCTCATGTATGCAAATTGGGCTGTTCAACCTGTCGATCATTGGCCAACACTCGACGGTACCAGCGTGGCACCGCCTACTTCTTCACACCTACGTAGGAGCATGTCTTGCCAGCTTTCTTCAGAACTCCGAGAAGCTCCTCAGAAGTCAGCGACGAATCTACGTACACCCTCTGATCCTTCAAATCGACGTCAACCTTGTTCACGCCTTGGCCTGCGGATATAAATTCAAGGCGATGGTTTAGAAGCTTTCGTTTGGCCCGAAAGTGAAGCACGCCATTTACCGGATCTACTTTTCTTCTTTTTTTTTTCTTATGGTATAATTAATGCACGTGTTTACCTTGCAACTTCCCGAGGACTCGCTGCACGGCGCCAGAGCAACCCTCGCAGGTCATTTCCACTTTAAATTCGTGCACCTACACGGGAAAAGGGAAAAAAAAACGAAATCGCGGAGTTTGTGACGAATGGTGACGTAGCGGAAATTTGGAAATTCCGCGAGCAGACGCCGCACGCCGACTACTGGCGCAGCGCGGGCGTAGCAAACAAAAAGACCAGAGCGGGGGCAACCGCAGCCACATAGCGGCGAGTGTATGTACAGTTACACCAGGCGCATACCGCCGGTCACAGTCGAAGAAGAAATCATACGCAAGAAATACGGAGTGTCGACTACATATGCCCATCAGTAGCTATTATTTAAACAGCACGCGTAAATGAAATTGGGCTCGGGGGTTCCAACGATGGGCAAGCGATGATATCTACATACACATAAGCGGCACCATTAATCGGACGCAAATTCCGAAAGGCCATTCGAAACAGGCGGTTGCGGAACGTGCAAGCAGGCGCGTGAAAGACCGGCACCTCACCGAACTCGCCGATGGAACAACATAGTCTTCACGCGACGAAATTACGAATGTTGCACTTGATATTCAGAAGTATGCGTACCTGAGAAGCCATCTTCTATGAACGAAGCAGCTGACAAGCCAGCCGGCAAAGCTGAGAAGCGGCGACGACGACACGATGCAAAAAAAACAAAACAAATCATTGCTCTGCCATTGTTGCTTGCACAGTATTGAAACTACGTCAAACACAGCACGTAAGCGCCTCAAACATCGTAGGCGCTTGCAATACCTTTTCGAATGGCAGCAAAAATATTCATACCTTATAGGCAGCTTTTTTTTATTTATGCTGTAAACACTACGACATTTACAACGCCATATCACAACATAAAACAATCTTGGTGCGAGATGCATGATATGCACGCACTTGCATTAGATGAAACTAGTAGGTGTTCTGTGTGAACGTAGCGTGGACGGTAAAATGTCGATCCCGTCGTTCTCAATAATTGATCAGCTAAACTTTGAACAAAGTCGGGTACACAAGGAGGGGGGGGGGGGTTGAACTGCCCCATTTTTTTAATTAAGGGTTATGACCAAGCAAGTTTTTTTTTTTTTTTTTTTTTTTTACTACGTTGGCGGCCGAGGACACCCGGGTTGTTGTATTGAAAGGTCTCTTTACTTTGCCACTATTACCAGCAAAAAGTTCGGGACGTTATGTAAACACTTACATGCAGAACGTCGCCGACCGTTTCATTTTTGCGTCTAATGCGACAAGTGCTTTCTTTCGGAATCGACCAACGGAAAAACGTGGAGGGCTTGCGGTCAAGCTTCCCTTAGTGAAAAATTCTACCCAAGCCTATGATTGTAAATGTACAGCGTGGGTTGAGAGTTCTTAAGCGTCACCAGAAATAGAAAAAAAAAAATTGACGGCAGACATTGCCGGTCAGACGTCACTGTGCACATTCACAACTGCTCGTTCTATTATTTAACCGTACTTTCTGAATCAACTATCATGCCGTCGAAATGCAAGCGCTGAGACATAGCGCTAAATCGGCTAAATGAGCCAAACTTACCTTCAGGAGGCTCGGCAAGTGCGAATGGGCCTTGGACGAGCTCCGAGCTCGAATGACGCGCAAGCGAGTCTCGAAACACGAAACAGCTGAGGGAAGTGGACGCGGCGAGTCAGGCGCCCTCTCTGACTCAGCCCGATGCGACTCGCTTGCTCAACTCTCTGCAACGCGAGCACCACGCGCTGCGCAAGGATAAGGAAGTTACGGCAGCGCCGGGCGCATTCCTTAGATGCAAAACACAGTTTGCGCAATGCACGATCCACATACGTCAATAACAAAGTTCATCCGCACCAACCTCTTTCTTCCCGCCCGGAAATTATCAATTCAGATTTTCGCTTTTACTTTATTCGGGTCGCCTTATATTCGATCAGCGAATGATCGCTCTTACCATCATTTATTTACGTGGGTCAGTGAGTCAGTGGGATGATAGGAAGATTTGCAAGGGCGTAGCCAGACTAGCTTTTTGGGGGTGGCGTGAAGGTGGTCCGACCCCCGTCCACCCTCTATTTATATCCGTGCGCGCGTTTGTATTGTACTCGTATATTTAGACATACAAGATTAAATCTGCATACCAGAGCAAACGATAAGAAAGGACCGAACGCTCTGTGTCCATTCATATTTATTTATTTATTTATTTGTTTATTTATTTATTGTACGCTCAAGGCCCGAGGGCATTACAGAGGGGAGTGGTGAACGGAAAGTTATACAAACTCTGGTAGTAAATAACAGAACAAGAACTTAATACAACAGTGCAATAAAACAAACGACTAGAAATAGCAGTACATACAATGTAGCTAGGAAATGCTTTGCAATAATATTAAAAACAAACAAAGTAACATGGCATAAATTCCTGTTTATACAACTTTACAACAATAGTTAAGTGCCATGAATTCCAAGTTAAACAATGTTAGCTATGGCCTTTCGAAAAAGTCTATTATCAATGATGGTGACTATGTCATTGGAAAGGTGGTTCCATTGTCGAGATGTTCTAGGGAAAAATGAATTATTAAAGGTGTTTGTGTTTCCTGCTTGAGTTCCGACTTTTTAAGCGATGGTCTACACAGTGTGATAAGTATAATGTGGCTGTGAAATGAAGTTATTATGAAGAAATGGGTGATGGTATATCTTATGAAACAGAGTCAAGCGAGCTATTTTTCTGCGTGATGCTAGTGATGGAAGACATAGGTTAGCTTTCATTGAAGGTATGCTGAAATTGCGGTTATAATTGGAATAAATGAAACAAACTGAATTGTTTTGAATGAGTTCTAGAGAGAAGATGAGGTTTTCGTCGTGTGGGTCCCCCACTGCTGTGGCGTATTCTAGTTTTGGGCGCACTAATGACTGATAAAGTAGTGATTTCAAGGATGACGGGACGTTAGAAAATTTGTGACGTAAGTAGCCAAGCGTGCTGTTAGCTCTACTGGTTATGTATTCAATATGAAGAGACCAGGTTAGGTTTGAAGTGATATGAACGTCTAAGTATTTATATGAATTCACAGGATCTAAGCGGATTTCATTGATATGGTAGAACGGAAGGGTGGTAGAATTTTTATGAACACGTAATATTTTACATTTGCCCCGCCGCGGTGGTCTAGTGGCTAAGGTACTCGACTGCTGACTCGCAGGTCGCGGGATCGAATCCCCGCTTCGGCGGCTGCATTTCCGATGTAGACGTAAATGTTGTGGGCCTGTGTGCTCAGATTTGGGTGCACGTTAAAGAACCCCAGGTGGTCAAAATTTCCGGAGCCCTCCACTACGGCGTCTCTCATAATCATATGGTGGTTTTGGGACGTTAAACCCCACAAATCAAATCAATATTTTACATTTGTTAATATTTAGTTGCATTCGCCAGGTATTACACCAATCACTTATAAGGTATAGGTCTGATTGAAAAGCATTAGAATCGTCAGTACTGATTATTTCACCGTAAATTACGCTATCGTCAGCAAATAAGTGAACATGAGATAACATATGTCCCCTCTCATCGTTTGCTCTGATCGCTGGCGCTGATACGTACTGTTAATCGTGTTGTAGCAGCACGTGCAAACATGTAGCCTTCTAAACATACAAAATGTAAAAATTTCGGGGGTAGAGTAGAGAGCTAAGCTCCATGACCCACTTCCCCCCCCCCTACCCCCACCCACTGACAGATGACTTGTGAAGATGTTGCAGGACAAGCCGGCATAGATGCTGTCACTGAGAACCTAAAAAAACATGACTGTGCCATTTTTTTAACATCTCCAAGCACAAACTGAAACAAAACTTCTTTGATGTTGAGTTGTGTTGATGAAAGCTGAGTGAAATGATAATTCCTGTAGTTTCTTTTACGTGCCACAAAGTACGACACAATTATGAGGAGCACCGCTGTGGGGTACTCCGGCTTAATTTCGACCACTTCGAGTTCGATTACTGAAATCGTGTTGTGTACGTCTATGATATGGGGCCACAAAAAGATAAAGAAGGAGCTAAAAATACACAGAATCGTTTTAATGGCGCGGGAAGGTGACGTGTGGTTCCCCTGTAATGGCGATATATTTGTTTAGCCTCACTGCAGCGGAGCACTGGTCACCTCAAAAGGGAATAAATAATTTAGATTGAACTTTTTATTCGCTTTCGCACAGGAGCAGTTAACATATTTTCTTTTCGTTCCTTGTGTTGTCCAACGCTGACTTACTATTAAAAAAAAAAGAAAAATTTCGCACTCATGTGAGCTGAGGGAAGTTCGTACAAACAGCGACTACAGAGCCTTCAAGATATTTCTAAGACCAGTATTCAACGTGGTACATCGTAATCCCCACCAAATAAAATAGGTATAAAAATTAATGTTGTATGAATAATCAATTGGAATCTTATGATGATGGCATTGATGACAGTGAAAAAGGGCACTTCCCAAAGACACTGCGCTTTAATAAAAAACGTTTTCTTCCGGTGATACACACAGCGTCGATAATCCCATAAAAGCTGTGGTTGCCTTAGTATTTCAATAACTAAAGGAAGATAAATTATCCCTCGCTGTTCAAACGTCTCCTTCCCCAGGAGTTTTCCCGCCGGTGCTGATTATCCGAAAAGCATCCGTGAAATATTCAACACCTCACACGTGCACTATTTCATTCGAGTCAGAAGATAATAAATTCGCTACAAAAAAAATTTCAAATTATTCACCCCCTCCAAAAAAAGTGGGATTTCAACAGTGCAGCAGCCGTCAAAAGCACAACGCCTATGGAAGAAATACTACCAGCGAGCCCTCGCAAGCAAGCTCTTTAAGAAGACACCCCGTGTTTCCATTAAGCGACCTCCAAGAGACCGCGCATTGGCTGATATTTCTTACGTTGCCTTGTCATGGCCTACCCGCACTGCGCTTGCTTGCTGGCTTGCTTGCTTGATCCTTTGTTGTGGCTCTTACCCACTAAGGGGGATTGGCCAAGAAGCCGGTGGTTAATGTAAGTTAATACCTTAATATTATCCAGGCTAGGGAAATATGATTACTTTGTTTCGACTTGACGGGATTATTTTGGCACAATGTGAAAGAAAAAATGAAAGAAAAGATATAATAGATTTTTTTAATAACTGAGGTGCAATCGTTATATGAAATTCTTCTGAAAGTTAAGGCATTACAGTGTAATAGTTCAATACTAAGTGTTAAATACTATCAATCATACTATCAATCAGGAAATAGAGAAAGGCGCAGAATATAACCAACCACTATACATATATATGGTATTCTGTTGCTTTCCTTATGAAGCACTGTGGTAGCAGTTAATCCCCTGTAGATTTCTTCCAGGATGTTTATATGTACTTCATCGGCGCCCTGATTCCGCAGTGTCTGCATGACGGCTGATATTTCTACTGAATCAAATGCCTTCTCGTAATCTGCGAAGGCTATAGCCTTCGTAGATTACGAGAAGGTATTTGATTCAGTAGAAATATCAGCCGTCATGCAGACACTATACCTTCGTAGATTACGAGAAGGCATTTGATTCAGTAGAAATATCAGCCGTCATGCAGACACTGCGGAATCAGGGCGTCGATGAAGTATATATAAACATCCTGGAAAAAATCTACAGGGGATTAACTGCTACCATAGTGCTTCATAAGGAAAGCAACAGAATACCAATCAAAAAGGCTGTAAGGCAGGGAGACACAATCTCCCCAATGCTGTTTACCACGTGCTTACAGGAGGTTTTCATAAGCCTAGAATGGGAAAAGTTAGGGATGAGAGTTAATGGAGAGTACCTTAGTAAGCTGCGCTTTGCCGATGACATTGCATTGCTGAGTAACTAAGGGGACGAATTGCAACTCATGATTATGGAGTTAGTTTTGTTGATTACAGACAAAATATTCGGAGTAGTGTGTGAAATTCCTAATTTTTTAAATAAAATCTTGAAACAATTTTTTTATTTATTTTTAAAACGGTCGCATCTGAGAAGAAAATGGTTTATATTTTCAGGTTCATTACAGCTTGATCACAGAGGGGATGGCACCAGACCAGACCTGTTTAAGTAGAAATTAAGAGGTGGTACACGGCAACGTAATTTTGTTATGGAAACTTCCAGTTTACGCATGAGACACCATTTATTATTCCATGCGAAGTGCAGGTGCGAGAAATCTGGATTCGGTATCGTAATCTTTGACGAGCTCTCAAGAAGGGAAAGTTTTCTGAACCTCGCTGCTGTTACATAAGCTGGATGAAGCACGATTGGCACAATCGGAAAATCATGAGATGCTCGCGCGAGTGAGTCCGCAATCTCATTTATAAGCATATTACGATGGCCTGGCACCCATATAATTCGCACTAGAGGAATGTTTGCTGGGATTAACGATTTAATGTATCTAGTACTGCTGATGCGGACGACGATGATAAATATGAACACTGGGATAACGAGTCAGTCACCATCACAGCTGTCGAATAAGTCGCAAGAAGTTTTCGAAGAGCTAGTATAACGGCCGTTAATTCTGCTTCAAATATGGGTGTATAATATGGGGGGCGTAATAAAAAATACCAGAATAATGAAAGAGAAAAAATACCCACACCTTTATCGACACTCATAGATGCATCCGTTGCAATTACTATATTAGTACCTAATTGAGAGAGGTG